AAATTGGACAATAATTATGGGATGGAGTGAGTACATTAATTCGTTAATTGTCAGAAAGGGAAAAAAAAAACCCCCTATGAGCTCAATTTCTTTTTGACAAAAATTAGCCAAAAACAAATTCCTCACCCCTTTCAAAATTTCTGAATTGTAAATTTTCTTTGTGCCTCTACCGACAACACTGAAAAAAGGTTTTATAAGTGAGAGTTAATTTTAAAAGAAATAATAGTACAAAAAACATATCCATCAGAAAAGGCAAGAAAAAAAGAAACACAAGAATCTCACCATTTACTCATCCTTATCTGCCAACATTTAATAAATCTTAAAGCTTAGTCAGCAATCAAATCAAGTATAGTTTACATTTATATCTTAGGGAAAGATTAATTATTATTAGGAACGGTAAACAATGTATTCATATTAATGAAAGAAAAAAAAAAATCTTTCCATTAGATAACACAAACTTTCGTAGCCAATTTAGTTCAGTTAAGTTTCCCTATGGGCCTAGGAAAGGGGTAAATAGCCAATGGGGCAGCCGGATTCGGTCACAATCAGCCCATTGACACAACCCCACGTAAGATGAAAAAACACGGGGCCCGCAAATGTGTCACGCGGGCATGCCGTCTGGGCCCTACACGTTGTTTTGTTTTGACCCCTATATTTTCTTTTTCTAATTTTTTACGGCCCACATTGCTCCCAAAGCCATCTCCAGTCTACCTCGGCACTCAATTACTCATCACTCTAATTACTAATAACCACAGCTTCCCTTTTATTTTTCTGTTAATAAATAAATGAGATATAAAAAGACGTCTACAATTCAGCGATAACGATTACTCGATATTACCGACCGTCTGCAAAATAGGAAAGAAAAAATGGAGAGAAAGATATGAACAGAATTACAGAAAGCAACGTTTTTGTGTGAAGTTATGATTTAACGAATTCTCAATGAAAATTACAAAACATTTGCCAACTTTGCCTAATAATTCCGACTTCAAAACAGCGTACGAAAGTTTTTCGTGTTGACTTTCCCACTTTACTACTGATGAAGACAATGTCAAATAGGTCCCTATTGTGGGTAAGAATCTCTCGTCCCAAGTAAACCACAAATAATAATGTTTACTCGGTGTAACAATTTTTTTCCTTCCTTTTTTTTTTTCCAAATAAAATCTATTTAAAATACTAACACTGAACATTACCCTTTCTTAAAACATAGAAAACATATTCTAAAACAAGCATACCTTTATTTTCAGTTTTAATATAAATTGGGTGAATCAAAAGTGAAAATTCAGACTAAACAACAATTTTACAACAACGAAAGTATTGCTAAACTTACCTGTAGACCATACATTATTGAATTCGTAAAGGAATTAAGGAAAAATTTTATGAATAAGACTTTATTTTTTGGTACAAGAAAAATGTCTTATAACAAACTATTTTTTATGTGATGAATCGAGTAATAACTCTGTTTGCCCCAAGTCGATTATTCATTTTAAATTTATCTTTTTAGTACATTTTAAATTAAAATCAAAATCTAAGTCAGATAATAAATTCGGAACATAAGGAGCATAAGAATTATAAATTGAATATGGGAATTTAACGAGATGATTCCTCAAAAAAAAAAAAATTGTAATTAAGCAAAAATTATGATTGAACCCCTTCAGGAAAATTTCAAGAGTAAAATTGAGATTAGGTACAAGCATAATTTTGTAGCTAGCTAGCCTCATTCCCTGTTTGTGCTTGCTACTTGCTAGCTAGCTTAGCCCTCGTATGAATTTTCAATATGTCCTAATCATTACCCGTATTGTAATCACTACTAGTATATTGTGTGTTGAAATCAAACAATTTCCAAGAAATAGATTAAATAAAAGATGTCGCTCTCCTAAATTGTTTTTAGAATAGGTCAAAGTAAAAAATAAAACATCTAAATATCAACTTAATTACCACAGTACATGTAAATGAGAAGCTCTAATTATACCGTGTTTTGATGGCGAGTTCTTAATTGTCGAAACATATCAAACAATCCGTCACAAAACTTATAATAAAAGATGTCACTTTCGAAAATTGTTGTTCTGTATTAAGCAGCTGTGTTTCATCGGTATTGGAACTTACCTAACTTGACTTTCCCAAAATTATAATATAGATTTCCGCGCAAGTCAAAACTATTCTGCTAGCTAAATCATGAAATATATCTTCTTCTTTTTTTTTTTTATTTAATTTGCCTAGGGTTTAATTAAGTTGAAATCAGCCAAGATAAGAAAGATCAACTCCAAGTGGACTTCAAGTGGAAATAACAACTGACCTTTCTCTTATATAAATGAATCCGATACCTAACAAGCAGTCATCTCAAAGTTATAGTCCATAAATCATCATAAAATATGATTGACAATACGAAATCTCGATATATTTCATTAGAATATACCCATTTAGAAAAACTATATGCTTTTGTATGTGACTTTTGATTAGCCTTTGATAAACTTCTTTAGTCAACCGATTTTACATTGCAAAGGAGAATAGAATAATGTTGGCGAATAACATATATTGCGACCTAAGCAAACCGAATGTTATTCTATAGATGATGTCATTTATTATTTTATCATTGGAATAATATTTCATGTAGTCTACATCTATATATTCCGCATAATCTTTCACATGTTTGTTATGAAAAGAAAATACATTACATTTGTTGAACAATGGGGAAAAAATTTCTTCTTTTTGTGTGATCGATCTAGGGTGATTAAAGTCAAGAGGATTAAGCTTTCGGAATAATGAAGTCATTGTTAGCTTAGATCCTCTTTTTCCACCACTAAACAATTATAGACAGAATTATGATACGTACAGGAAAAAAATTACAAGAAATTAATCATGGCCATTTATACAGGGAAAATTTACAAGGAAAACTTACAAGAAATGATTTGTCAATCATATCTATACTACGTCATAAAATTAAATGCTTAAACTCCAAATCAAAAGTGTTAAAAAAAGAATGGCTATGATCAATTCCTTGTCATTTTTTCCCTATATGTATCATTATTCTCTTAACACTTTTCATTTTGGAGTTTAAGCATTTAAGGTTCGGTAATAGTTTAAATGATTGACAAATCATTCTTTGTAAGTTTTCCTTGTAATTTTTTCTTATATGTATCACTACTCTTATAGACATTACCTTATAAAAGGAAAAAAAAAATAATTATTAGACATTTATTTTTTGTTACAGAATGTAAGAAGAATTTGAAATCACTTCATAGTTCTATCCAATTCCATTAGTTTTTTGAAGATCAACAAGGGAAGATCTGTTACAGATCTAAATCTTATATGCGTCTTTAATCTGAGATCTAGATCCAGATCTGCAGTATAGGTTAGGTCGTATCTAGTTGGTATTTCTTTGTGTTATTGGTTCCTTCCGCGTCCTTCTATTTATTATTGTAATATTTTCTCTCTGTAATCAGTGAAATTGTTGCAATTAGTTTAATTAGTTAGGGCCAGAGTTATACACAGTGTTGTGCGTTTAAGTTTGATAAGAATGGCTAGTTGTTTTAGCCCAACCCTTTATGGTTATGTATTACCCATCCCTTCTTTAGTAATATATTATGATTATCGCTTGGGAAAAAAAAAAAACCTTTAGTTTTTACAACCAAGCGAGAGAGCAAAATGTTACAAAGTTAGAAACTCAATCTTAAAATTTACTTCTCTACTATACTCATAATGCACCGGCTTTGTTGAATCACATCCCAATAATTCTCTAATTTCTGAAAAATTCCGTCATCCTAATGGCTGTTGTTCTGTTCTTTAGAGACAAATGGATGCTGTTTTTCCAATACATCACTTTTACATTTGTATTTAAAAACTAAAAAATCAACTTCGAAATGTATCCAACAAATCAACTTAAAAATGTAACTAACAATCGATCCACTTACATGTGTTCTGTTCTTTATAAAAACTTGCTAAATGCCAATAGCTCCAAGTTCTATAGTTAGGAACTCGTAAGTTTTGTGTCAATCTTTTCCCCGAAAAAGGAAGAAAAATAAGAACCTTATTTGAAGAATCCAAAATCATAAATAAGATAATGACATTTCCCTACAAGATTTGACGGCAAATTTATATTCTGTTTGCACATTTAAGAACAATATGAAAATTTTAAAAGACTACTCAAATCAACATCGTCTTAAAAAGCATAAATCATCACCTCGAAGATTATACCAATGATTTTTTGTAATGAAATCGTGACCCAGTTTTAAGACACATAATTAATTTAAATTCTGAAAATTGCTTTTCAAACTGACTTCTAGTAAGTCCTTAATTATAGTTGACCAAATTTGATATCCACATACGATCCATATATAATCGACTTATACTATAAAATAAAAATTTATTGTTATTCCGAAGAACCTACCGCGATTCCTTATGCATATAATCGAGAAGTCCACAACTATTCCATTAAAGTATAATACAAAACCAATAATTAATCGATCTACTCCTTAATTAAGCGATTTCTCTTTTGTTTTATGTTTCAATTCAACTACTAATTTAAAAATTGATGTCATCATTCCTACCCATACCTGGCCATCTATAGACAGTACTAGGGTATATATTCAGATATAAATTAAATTAATCAAACTTTGGCCAATTATAATATCTGTATATATTGAATCTTCAAAGTGAAGTTTACTATTGTCCTCAAATTCGGGTTCTAGGTATATAAAATTTGAGCCGTTGATATGAAATGGGGAAAAAAGCTACTATATTCGTCTACCCAAACCATGATAAAAAAAATAAAAAAACAAAAAAAATCATCATCATAACATTTCTCTTTGCTAATAAGCAAACAAGAATAAACAAACAAAATTATCCAAACTCCAAAGTACCCTATTAAGAATATAAACCTAATTAATTCCTTATTCACTTCAAGAATTCGATTCACCCCCTTTTTTCCACCCAAAAAAAAATGTTATTTCATAACAATTAAATATATGCCCCTCCACAACTAAAGACCCACCAACCCCACCCCCAAATCGTCAATTTTGTGAACGATTGTCAACCTGAAATCAGCCAGATTAAATTTCCAATCCGTACCCCTTTAACCGTTTCAGATGTATATAATAATAATTAAATTAGTTAAAGAAAGTCTAGCTAGTTAGTGTGTGTGCGCGTGTGCGTTTATCTCTATATATATTGACTCATTTCCAAACACACAATCCACTTTCATACAAAGAAGCCAAAACCAAACTTATATGTAAAGCAACGGAGAGAGCTCCAAAGCTACAACAAAGAAAGAACAAACAAACACAAATTCCATCATCAAACACAGAAATATTATGGCGGATGAATATTATCAACTTCAAGCGGAGACAACATGGTGGATGAATCCACCAATTAGAAGCAGCATGATGTTTGGATCATCACCTTGTTCATCATCAGCTGGAGGAATCAATCTTGACTTGGGAAGCTTTGGATGGCCAACCAGTACTGATTTCCTAGACATCAAAACAACAACAACAACAACAACAACAAGATGCAGTCCAGATGATCATCAGTCTCATAATAACAATAATTCATCAGCCAATTCTGATGGATCTTCCTCCATAGTTATTCAAGACTTGCAGAAACCTAACTCAGATTCAGCCACCAGCTCAATGGATTCAGCCCTTCAAATTATAGCTACTTCTCTAGGTCTTCCTTCATCAACAACATCAACAACAACAGCTGATTGGGATTCAGCTTTAATGTAAGTTTTTTTTTTTTTTTGGTCACTTTTTTTTGTTTAACTTTTTTAAATCTTAGTTATGAATATTTTTCATTTTTGTTGTTATCCCGGAAGAAATCATGGACCATGCAGACAAAGTTGAGTATATTTTAAGGGGGGAAAAAAAGAGAGAGTCTTTAATAATGACAGGGGGAAAAGGGAAAGTCAAGTTGATCCATAAAGTTAAATGTTTTTTCCTTCTTGTCATTTTGTAGCCATGGTGGTAATGGAAGGCCTGATCATCAACAAGCAGCCAACAATTACCAGAATTCCAGCATGAATTACCGGCAAGAAATCGGTATTGATCAGAATTGTACTTCTGATCATCATGATCATCTTCAGATCCAAAACAACTTTGCTGCTCCTCCAGCTGGATTTCCAATGAATCCTGCCTCTTATGGTTACCCTTCAAATCTGCTTCAAACGCTGTTTGATTCTGAGCCTCAGCCTCAACAACAACAAGTAATAGAATCTTCTTTATATACGAATCATCGAGCCATGAACAACAACTATCAGACAAGCTTGAATAATGAGCTTCCTCCTGCATCTTTGCCTAAATTCAATCCTATGCAACAAAAGCTACAACTTCCCAATAATCTTCCTTTCTCCGCAACCCCCGGGCAAAACTTTGTTAATGGTTCATCTTCAGCTGCAGCTTTGAATGATCTCCGGGCCAGTTTTTTCTCACCAACAGTACAATCTCAGTTTCTCTCATCGACGTTTAGCGAAAAGGCCAATCTTCCCAACCTCACTGCAAAGGTACACATATATTTATTTTTTCAGGACTTCACTCACAAGGGTTTTCATTTCTCATATCTTTAAATCATACTATATTATAGCTAATTAACTTGAGTGAAAAGGGAAAAAAAAAAATCAGCTAGCTAGGGTTTTATTTACCAAGGATGTATACATAAACTTGATTCATTTTTTTCTTGAAAATTTTCAGGTTAACAGTGATGAAGTAGTCCAAAGTTTAGGGACAACAACGGCGAAGAAAAGTGGGAGTACTGAGCCAGCGTTTAAACGGCCTAGAATAGAAACTCCAACGCCATTGCCAACTTTTAAGGTTCGTACACACAAAAATTGATTTTTTTTGACCAATAAAAAGTGGGAGCCTTTTCTTTTTCAAGAGTAAAATCATTTTCCCTGTTAGAAAGAAATGGACGAGAAAAATCTCAGCTTTTTTTTTGTTATCTCTTATCAGGTTCGAAAAGAGAAGTTGGGGGACCGAATAACTGCCCTCCAGCAATTGGTTTCGCCTTTCGGAAAGGTAAATCAGACATCTCTGGATATCTTGTTTTTCATGCTTTATCCTCATAATTCGATTATTTGAATTTATTAGTTTGATAGTATTAATTAAGTATACTGATCAACTACTGTTTTTCCGTACTTGCAGACTGATACTGCATCAGTTCTCCATGAAGCAATTGAGTACATCAAATTCCTACATGATCAAGTCAATGTAAGTCCTTTTTTATGACTTTTTTTTTTTTAATCTCCCTTAATATATGAAACCTTAACATTTTCAAGATTAATTTTTGATTAGGTGGATTGAGAAGTACTGTTTGATGTTGTATTTACAGGTGCTAAGTACTCCATACATGAAAAACGGATCTCCCGTTCATCATAGGCAACAGGTAGGGATTGAAACCTATATCATTCTACGAGTATAATTGATCGATATATTTTTTTCTCAAAAATGTATTGCATAAGTACTCCATTCAAGTTCTTACAAATGTCATGTTAGACGTTTTGTAAGTACTGGGAAGTTACTAGGCCATGCTTGGATTGTTATTTTGTGCTTTGTGCGTGTGCGAGTGGGTGGGTGAGTTTTTTTTTTTAAAAAAAAAAAAAATTATTGTTTCATTTTACATATTCAATCCATCATTCTGCGTTTTGAAATTTTCAAGAAAACTTCTTTCAGTTTCCAACGATAAAAAGAAGGGGAAAAAAAAACAAAAAAAAAAAACACAACCCATAATATACACTTTTAATGTCTAACCTTTTGATATGGGGAAGAGGTGTAGAAATTTACAACCGGAAAAATGTTCCAATTCATTGTACAGTAGACTAATTTTATGACATCAATATTCAAAAAGTTCATCATATTTTATATTGCACTTTCTTTCACGAAGTACTTGATATATAATACCGTCATAGTAAACATAATTTGTATAATGTTATGCAGATATCAGATAAATCAAGAAATCAAGAAGGATTAAAAGAAGGCTTGAAAAGTAGGGGACTTTGTTTAGTGCCAATATCCAGCACCTTTCCAGTAGCAGCTGAGACCACAACTGATTTTTGGACTCCAACATTTGGGGGCACATTTAGGTAGAAGAAAGAAGAAGAAGAAGTTAAAAAAAATCATCAAAAGCTTACACGACAGATATTCGTAGAGCTGACACAATAACCAATCAAAAAGTGTTACAACTAATTAAATCTGGAAGAAAAGTTGTATGGATTAGTACTACAAACTGAAAGCAATTATAAGGATATATGCCACATTATTGCTGTTATAGCAAGTATTGGATGGAAAGCTAAGATTAGGAGAAGAAGGAAAAGGGAAGTGGCCCTCTACAAGGAAAAGAAGCCAGCCAACAATGCTGGGCCAATCTACAAAAGCACAATGATTTCAAAGGTGCGCAAGGATTAGGTACATTGTAATAATTAACATTTTTAGTATAATTAAGTTTAGATTAAATGTGGGCTAAGGAACGGGAACAAGTGCTAAATTTGGTTGATAATATTTAGATTAGCTTTTGAGGGATATATTATGTATTTATTTTGTGTAATGCGGTTTGGTTGAGCACTTGAGAGCTGAATTTAGCACGTTTAAGTGTATTATTTGTTCCTGTTTCTTTTAATGAAAGTTACTTACATGTTCTGGAGATGGTTTGATGTTCTCTTGCTATGCCATTCTGTTTTACTTGTCTGGAATTAACTTTGGGATAATGCTTCAAAAATGCTAATTCAATGAACAAATAAAATACTTGAGTCGTGCAAAATTGCACTGTCTTACAAAACTATTTCGGTGTAACGAAATGTTTTCCCAAGATAAAACAAGTTTTCCTTATTTTGGTGTTAGAAGGCACAAGAACTAATAAATATATAGATCCAATATTTAAGTGGGATTGAAAGAGGAAGAAAAGGACTCAAAGAATTTGAAAGACAAAATAGTGGTAGTATTTATAGACTTGCAAAACTAATGCTCAAATTGTTGTCCGACACTTATCCTTTCAAGTCATAACTTTACCATTAACTCATGCAAGATAAAGGTTTTTCATTAAAATGAGTAATATTAACCTTTACTAGATAATATTAGATAGTTATGAAATCTGACTTAGTACACTAACTTCTTTATGAACTAATGTTAAAACATCCAACTCAGACTCATTGTAGAAAAGTAGTTTCAACATTCACACGGCATAAAAGAATTGTAGTAATTAAAGTCATTTTTTGAAATAAATTTAGTTAAAACAGCAAGATTAACAACTCAAAGTCATCAATTATACGAGAAAACCTAACTCTAGCTATAATTGCTTTTGTCATTTATGTATGAAGAGTTTGAAGTTAGTTTTCAAATTTCTATAATATTCAAAAACATACAATTAGGTCACGAAGTCAAAATTAACTTTCTTATGAGAATACTAATCTGGTTTACAAAATCGGATTGAGATGCAAATTCAAGGAACATCTCACTGATTAATTACCGCATTCAAACGAGACTATTAAAGTAGTGGTGAAGAGTCGTGAAGCTTTTAAATTACATATCAATTTTTAATGAAAACTTTTTTTAAAAAAAAAATAAAATTTAGAATTGTATATTGATATGGAATGATAGTGGAAGTCAGGAGGCGTCCCACTGTTGTTCTTTTAGGGTTTTTCATAATTGAAATGGGGTTGAGCAGTAATCTTTAGCGCATGCACGCGTTGTTGCGTGTGATATACAAGGCTTAGCTAGTGGAATTCATCCAGTTTCCTAATATATATCACCTGCATTTATCTTATGTCAAAACAACAAAATAAAAAGTACTTTAACCAAAATTAGCAACATTTCTCATGGTAGCCTTTTTTTCGAAGATTTTCGCATGCTATAGCTCATTAATTTAGAAATACAATGATGACTTCTCCCAAATTACTTTGTGGAGTAACTAATGGTGGTACGATTAAATACCACCTACTGATTTAGAATCGAAAATGAGTAAGTCCTTTTCTGAAGACATAAAAACTTTTCCAACAACAATTGTAGCTACCCATCGTTATATGGGATTCGAACCCAAGTTAATCCATTTTAACTATTAGTGATTCCATTTTCCTTTCAGCAAACAGAAACTAAATTTCATGTATTGAAAGAAAAAAGCTGGTATTGTATGAGCATATCATGTTAATTGCGGTAATGCACCAGGTAATGAGAAAGACAGAATGTAGGGTGGTTGATTGGTGCCAATATATTCAGGCCACGATCTAACATCGAAGATGTTATCCATAATGCCATGAGAGGGTTGCTGATGAGCTTAGACAAAAATTCCCATAATAATGCAACCAACTTAATTAGCTAATATCGCCAAGATGAGCCAAATTACAGGGGAAATATGGTGGCAAAACTTTTTCAATTTATCAATTACTCCCCCTGTCCCAAAATTATTGTCCAGTTTGAGATTTCAGTTTTAGTATAATTTGAACTAAAAATAAAAACCCAAACTGGACAATAATTATGGGACGGATAGAGTATTTATGACACATTTGAGATACACAAGATATCAATACCCGCGTCTAGATGAAGTGCAACATCCGGCCCGACCACCCCATAATAATAAAATAATCTGTGGTACATCTTGTTAGGTTTTAGGAAGGTGATTATTAAATTGGATATAGAAACTATATGATAGAATCAGAGAGGCTAGCTAAATAGTTTCAATTTAATTAGTTACTTGGAGGATCAAGTCTAATAGCAGAAATGGTATTATTATAAATATGTTTTTGGTGCCCAAGAAAGGCTTTTTATATGAGAAAGGGACTAAAGATCGATCCATATATTCATCTTTCATCTAGGAACATGTGAATCAAAAAGCAGTGGCAGGTGAAATAGAGTTGTGTACCAGAGGCAGCCTTGTATGAGAAGCTTAAATTAGAAGAATCCCCATGACAACCGACTCATCATGGGGGTGTGGGGAGGGGAAGGGAAGAGTATTTAATTTTGACACAACACCTTTACTCGATTAGTATCGCCTGATTCCGAGCATCTGCTTTATCCTTTTTTCCTCTGATGTTACTCACGAATTGATATATGGACCTTTATATAGGGTATTCTGTCTTGCGGATTTTTTTTTTAAATTTTTATTTTTTTGGAAACAATAATCATGTTTATTATTAATATAGTTAGCATTATAAACACTACTTTTAATAGGGATTGAGCTTCGCAACACTGTACATTTGCAAATTATTGGGGTACAAAAAGAAGAACTTTATATGTATATACTGAAGGGTATACGAAGAAGGAATACTAAAAAGGGAAGGAATCAATTTTGATGTTTAGTGAAGCATATGTGACTTGAGGAGGGTGTACTGTACCCATTTCGTTTTTTCCCTTGCTTTAATCAATCGACAAGACTTCTTTTCTTGTTCTAGCCAATCAGTTCAACCATCTACCGTGCGTCTTCAAACAGAAGTCGTATTAAAAGATTTCTGGCAGTTTTTTTTTATTTTTTATTCTCCTTTTTTTCTTTTGTTCAACTTTCTTCACGCCTGATATATTTCTTCAAGTCCTTTAACTGGCACAAAGGTGATGATTCAATACGAAATTAAAGTCGACATCTGTAAGATTTGCAGATTGAAAAATACACCAAATCCAGCTTTTGGTATTGATCCCGTTTACTCTTTAACATACTGAGGTTGACATTTTTCCTAATGCAACTGTTTGGTTTTATAAGTTGTTACCAAATGTAGTAGTGGTAGTACAATTCCTCTTAGAAACAATAATACTAATACTAATTACTACTATAATTATGGGAAGTAAAAAAAGGATCTAAAATTGACTTTTAAGATGATAACAGTAAAATTGCGAACCTCATAGTCAGTTATCGAATTTCACTCCATTATTTTCAATTCAAATTACTCCGAGAAGCGGTGAAATGTTTGTGATTCCACATTATATGTCTGTTTGTTTGGAAGCGTGGGATTCCAAACTCGAATGCAAACGCTAGGAGCTTTCAGCATTGGGGAAAAGGGTTGGAGCTGCAATTCTTTTTCCTAACTTTAAAGCCTGAAAGTGAAACTGAAGATAAAATGGGGTGTGAAAATGGACCAGGGAGTTTTATTGGAAAATATGCTCCGACATTAATTCGATCAATACAAGGTAATTTTCATGTGCTAAAAGATTGAAGGTACGTTGTTCTAACCCAGATTTCCACATGCCTTGGTCAGTCCCTCCTGGGCCGGTTTCCGACAAATACATATTCCACCCTTAATGGTAAGTAGAAAAAAACAAAATAATGTGAAAAATATCTAGGAATCTCAAAACAGCCAAACAATCTCTAATCCTTCAACTTTTACAAGAGACCAATTTATCTCTACCCCTCTCTTTCTTTCCCTAAAAGTTACGAATCCATTTGCACCACAGTAGAATCTTGTGGAAGTTTTGTTAATAGCATTTGAAAGGAACTCGATCTCTGGAATTGACGCTGTTTGATGTATTAGGATATATATTTACATCATCTATGGACTTCAGATGAGAAGTAAAAGAATTTCTTGAAATTTCTATGGTTTTGTTTGTGGAGAATCCTCCAAGTTCCGTAACTCTCTTCAAGTGATTCTAAGCTTGTAGATGATAGAAATAATTTGAATTTTTTTTCAATATACTCTCTCCCTTGTTTAGTGTTAATTTGTGTCAATTAGTAGTAGAGGAAGTATTAGTTCGTAAATATAAATATATTGTTGTACATATTATAAAACAATACATTATCTGTCTCAACTAATTTCCCTCACTGAAACTGAATTGTAGACACTTCGATGGGTGAAACAGCTGGCCAAAGTATTTAAGATTGCTTCATGCCTATGACAAAATTCAAACTCTCGACCTATGATTAAGAGTAGAGGAGTCTCTTCTACCCACCACAACCATTTGGTTATGTCAACTTTACCTGGTGAAAAGCATTATTGAAAGGTCCATTTTCATTACAAATGGGCTTCAATTTGAAATTTTCTAGGCTAAGGCACAAAGTGTAATAAATAATACATTGATAACTCATAATTCAAGAAAAGGCGAATCAAATCCGACATATCTCTCTTCAGATAATCAGATCTGCAGTCTAAACTCTAAAGTGCTCAAGTTTGGGCCTTTAGTTAGCGCAGTTGGCTGCACCGGGTTACTCATTGCTCTTTTACCATGCAATCTCTAAGCCCACTTCTCTTTTATGGCTTATCATTTTAGATATACTACTTTATCATTTTTCATTTTGCATCATAATTTTTTCTTTTTTTGTTTGTATATCTTTTTAGTGATTCAGATTTAAACCAGCTCTTTCGAGAGGTGAAAATCTCATAATAAAAACATTTTTTTCTTGTATAAAGGAGGATTTAAGCCTATTAAATTAATAATTTCCGTCAATAAGACACACCAATTATATCATATTTCAATCATGGTTTAACGTGTTTCAGCCATGGTTATACATTCACGGGTGCCTCATCTGAATATTTTAGTACAATGTCTATGACCGTGTAGGAATTCGAAGTCTAATTAGGGACGCAATAGTTAAACTCTGCTTTAACAACATAGCTGTTTTTTAGAGAATTTTCTTTTAAAGACGCTTTATATTTGATATCATGTACAAGATTTGGTTAGAATTATTGAAAAATTATTGATTTTGACATGTTTCTTGAGCAATAGATGCGCTAGGCAAAAAGCAAATCTGAAAACCGAAAAACCACATTCAAGTCAATTGACAAAAAGGTGTAAAACACTAAAACCAATTAAGCTTTGAAAAAGTAACACTAATTTGCAGTATATTATGACCGGAAGGACTATTACAAAACAAAAATATAAGCGTGTAAAGACTGTCAAATGTCTATTTCAATTTCAAAAGGAATAATATTTCTTATTTTTAACGGTAAACAATGTTGAAGAAATGATGCATCAACAGTAGAATTAAATCAAGCAGATCCTGTTTTGAACTTCTTGATAATGCCGGAAATGTACTTGCCCTGATGGAAAGCAATGGCGAGTTCCTTTTCAGTCGGCTGCCTGGTTCCATCTCCGGCGAAAGTCCCGGCACCATACGCGTTGCCTCCTCTGATCTCTTCCCTCTCGAACATCACCGGTCCGGCAGTCGCCCCAATCGGGACAAAAATCATACCATGATGAGTTAGCTGAGTAATTGCCGTCAATCTGCATCACAATATTAATCATCATTTCATCAATTAAAGAATGAATTAGTCTATTTCAAAACCAATCTGCCCAGTTCAAATTACTCCCTCCATCCTAAAAATATTGTTCGGTTTGAATTTTCATTTTCAGTATAAATTAAATTAAAAGTGAAAGTACAAACTTGACATTAATTTTTGGAGGGAGGAAGTATTAAAAAACATATGGCAAGAATCCAACATGTGAAATTTGATTAAAAAAAGAAGAAAGAATGACAAAAAAAGATACTGACGGGGTAGTCTCTTGACCGCCTCCTTGAGATCCGGTGGAGAAGAAAAGGCCGGCAGGCTTGCCGGCGAGCTTCTGGCCGGCCCAAAGCTGGCCAGTTGCATCAATGAATGCCTTGAACTGGGCAGCCATCATCCCGAATCGTGTCGGGAACCCGAAAATGAAACCGTCGGCTTCAGGAAGCTGATTGGGAGAAATCACAGGGACGTCACTCTTTGGTGGGGCGTGCATTTTCCCAAGAATTTCTTCTGAAAGTGTTTCTGGCACCTATCAATTAAAAGGAAACATCAGTAAGAAAAACGTCCATTAATCAAAACAGAGCTTTCCATAAGTCATTCAATAAAGCATTACCTGCCACAGAGTAGCTTCGACACCTTCAACAGTGTCGGCTCCTCTCTTAATCTCCTTGGCAAGCGTTTCAACATGCCCATAAGTACTGTAGTAACTGTTACATGTATTGAATTTTTTTCAGACATTGATTCATCAAAATGGAAGCTTGAAAAAGAAGAGTTTCAAAATAAAATCTTTTTTCTGATTCAATGACAAGAGGGGATTAAAAAAAAAAAAAAAACAGAGCATGCAGTCAATCAAACACAGCAGATTGGAAATATCCTGGGCATAAACGATTTACTCAATCAGCCCATCCCTATACATATATATACAAGAAAAAGAGGAATTTTTTTGCAAGATATCTTGAAAATGGCTAGCCGGATGGCATGATTTTTTCGTTCTCATTGCTCAATAGCAAAGCAGAGAAGACAACTCTGGTAAAAACTAAAAACGTTGTTTGGCTGAAATTTGAAAAGGTAGAATCCTGAACTTACACAATGTAAACTTTGGTGGCCATTTGTGGTTTCTTGCTGAATCCCAAAAACTAAGGAGTTTTTCTCTGCTTGTTTGAATGTAAAAGCTTGAGAATCTGAGAACCCAATAGGGGGAAGCCCACGCTTTATGTAATTGCTCACAGTCCAAGATGGAGGCGTTGACTATATTCTTTTGTATTTATTTATTTATTTATTGTAGACTCTTTTTTATTTATTATTTAGTTCTAGAAACATAACCTGCAAACCTTTTTATTTACCAGTTGAAAAAAAACCCAAAAAAATAATTTAAAGAAAAAGAAAAGGAAATTTGGAATTGGAGTGAAATTTGTAACAGTTCTTTTGGATTTTGGTTAATTTTGGAATGGTAGTTTGTTGTTTAGGATTAACCAAAATTATTTAGAAAAGCAACCCGATTAAACTAAAGTTCCTCTTTTTTTTTTATTTCGTCAAACTTTATCTTTTATTTTTAAAAAATACATATATTCATCTCTTGCACGAATGTGACATAAAAACATTAGTGCACTATGTTGCTTTTATCATATTTTCGCTCATCTATCAAAACTTGTGAGCAACTTGGGCAAATCAATCAATGTGTATATTCTGAATCATTTCCTTGCTCTTTTGGAGATTAAAAAAAAAAAGGCATCTGCATTAAGTGGACGTAAAGAATAGAAAAAGAAAAGGTATAAAAAAGATGATGATTATCATTTAGTAGTTCATGATTCCCATTCTTATTATAAAATATTTTTAAGGTTTCTTTTGGTCTGATTTATAAGGCATTTGATGTTTTTAAGGTTTGATGTAGTGTACTCATAACTTTATTCGAACTTAAATTGACAAAACTTTAATTAGATTGTTGATTTTTAAAGGAGTTGAGACATTTTTAATATGGATGGATAATATACATAGCTTATCAAAAAAAAAACTAAATTAACTACTTCATTTAATTTTTTCAAATTATCTATTATGACTTATATTAAGAACTAGAGAGAGTATGTTTCAATATATTCTTTAATCTCAAACTTAATTAAGGCCTGCCTCAAAGGCAGATTAGATCGTGGTTTTTGTTAATTAAGGTCACAAATTGGGGCAATTACAACAACCAATATAATTTCCATAATTCATGAGGACTTGAGAAGGAATGAGGCGTTGAGATGTGCGGGAAAAAGTTCAAGAAATTTTAAACTCAATAGGAATGTATAATTGGATATCAATTGCTATTAAAATTCAGATATTCCCAACCATTCAGATTAGTACGTAGTTAGCCATTTCAATCCTTCCTCTTTTATTTTTTTTTATATGAAAATATTTACTTCTCCCAAACAAAAATTAATTGGAAAAATAAAGATTTGGTAAGTGATTTATTTTACTTTATAACGATAACACTTTAAAAATTATAGTCATTCATTAGTTTAGATTCTTTTGAGGCAAAAAAACAATTATGTGATGATCACTGTCCAACTTATGTACTACAATTTTTTTTTTCATAATTACACAGTGTCTACCGTCAATAACAGTGATTGCAATTTTTTTTAAACATATTTGATTGTCCTTTTTTCATTTTAGGACAATGAAAGATGAGTGTAGTATCATGGACTTGGCCAGTTATAAACTTTGCATTTGTTTCTTTGTTTTCCTGTTTTTCTTCTTTTCCTTTTGGCCTTACCAATTACTTTGCGTACACGTTGGCCAATATGAGTGTCTTTCCCTAATTTGTTCTAAGTCATTGTTTTATTTTTCTAACTGCGTATTTATCTGCATGAAAACTTCCTCAATTGAACTGACACCGACGATTTTCATGAAGTATTTTAATTACATGTATTATAAGTCATGATCTATTACAATAGGCGATGGATTTTTTGAAATTAAAAAAATATTATACATATACAATTTCCGATAAATCTTAGCCATGATTTCTCAAGTGTTTTAATCATCAAAGTGTCACATGAATCCGACTTTTGAAAACGGTTCAAAATAATGGCCGTAAGGTAGCTGTAATTTTCTGTTCTTCAAATTATTTTGATAGAAACTTCTTTTATTGATTTTGACTTTGACTACGCAATATACGACATACGACATGATGATGTCATGCATGAACTGGGGGATTACCATATTTTGGAAGTTTTAATAATAATAATAAACTACTATAAAAATAGAGTAATTAAAAAATACTAATAATTTTGACTACATAACCTTGGACTTAATAACTTTCACTATTAGTCCTCCCATGATTCCCTCCAATTCCTGTAATAAAACGTCTTCTTCCCAATATATATATATATATATATTTGGTGAACTTGTTTCTGATACTCTTTCTAATAATTATTCCTTTGAGTCCTAAATAAGAATTCTATATTTTAAATTAGGTTAGTTTTAAATAGGAGTATAAAAATATTATTATGAGACGAAATCTACAGAAAGAGAACCACCAAAATCCCCTATAATCCAGAAAACTGGAAAGATACATGTTCGACTTGATAATAAGCTGTTCAATGCATCCATTTCAAAAGTAGACTAAAATATAATGGCGGAAGATTAGCAAGGAATTAATCAAAATAATAATAAAGCGGCCTTGTGCCGGCTGCTAAGAATCTTTGAAAACTTTGGAAGCGGATTCAGCTGGGCACGATAATACCCAGCGTTTGTCCAATTTTATTTTATTTTGTTGGTCCCAGCTCTAAAAGTAACTGTTTATTACATTTGCAACTGGCGACTGAATTTCTTAACCGTCCATTTCAAGTCACAGACTAAGTAAGCATTACCATATAGTTACGAAATTATTGACATCTAGACGTTTCTATGTATAGCCGGCCCTTTTTGGGGATTTCTTCGTTTCATACTCCTTGTACCCTAAAATTATTGTCCAGTTTGAATTTTCATTTTTAGTTCAATTTGTATAAAAAAATAAAAATTCAAACTGGAAAATAATTTCGAACAAAGAAAGTACAATTATAATATTTGCTTCATTTTATCGATCACTATCGTTTGTTGTCAAAATAACCGTCAGATTTATTGCACAATTTATCACAAATACTATAAAATTATTATTTTCATCTCAAAAAAATATATATATCATTTTATATTTTCATCGCAAGAATCCCTTCTTAATTTTTATATATTTTTTTTCCTTCTTTTTTGTGGCTTCAAGAATGCTCTCCTAAATTTTGACAGTTCTCATCATTAGAACATGTTTTTATCTTTCACGTGTGGAGGATCTTTTCGATGGACAATGTTTGTTCGCTTTTCTGGGCTTACCATAATGTTGTTCTGCGAGTGTTTTAATTTGTTCACTATAATCATAGACCACTAACTTGATTGTCTTCTAACATTAGCCTTCAACGAAAACAAAGAGTTATTTCTGATTTCCCAATCATGCATCCCTTTCTTTTCTTTCCGGAATCCTGGGCTTTTGGTCAAGTGCCAAAAAAGTATTACTAATTGTGATTCTCTTTCACAGCACTGATTTTGCGAACCAGAGAAAATATATATATATATATATTTTAACAATTTAAGAAACTAATGTATGAAATTATTACATTTCAAGAGTATATTATAACATTATGTTTAGGTTTTTAGTCACGGTTTGATCTCCGATGACAAAATCTGAAGCCAATGCAAGTTTTTCTGACCATGTGTTACTAAAGAATCAAATAGTCACTCCCGAAATTCATGTACAAGTTAGAATTCTCACTCCTGCTCCGTCAATTCGCGACATAATCCCATCATTTACACAAAACATTTCGCAGTCCACTAGAAAAATAGTTGACATTTGCGTGAAGTGTATATTAAAAGGAGAGAGAATTTCCTAAGAAGAGATTGATAGGAATATGATCATAAGGCCAGAAAGCCAGCCAGCCTGTAGCGATTGATCAAAGGACCGATTCTAATTACGCAACCCTTCTTCATGTCACATGTATGATGTCTCGTAGATTATTATTATGGTTAATACATGAAAACCCCCTTGTGGAATTTTAAACTACATGATCACCCCCTTATGCTAAGAAAATATCTAATGCTCTCCCTAATGATTTGTCCTAAGTTGGTAAAATTGATAAACAGTGCTCTTTTTAATGTAAAGTGTGAGAAATGCGCATTATTTGAGGTGGAACTTGTAAAACGAACTTAAGTAGTATTTTACATTCCAAAAACACCCCAATATTAGTGTTTCTATACCAATCAATCAAATTGAAAATTTTCAACTAAACGAGAAAGGCAATGAATTTTTGGGATGTAATTGTCAATGGCTCAAATTGATGATTAGAGTACCGACGAACTTTTTTGCCATGATTTCTTTTTCTTTTAATTTGCTGCTTACCCGTTCCTATTGAGAACCGCCATCCCTCGACCTCCGCAGAAGTCCCGACAAAAATAAAAAAATAAAAATCATTCTTCTGTTTTTGAGTGTCACTATTATCAAAATGGGAGCTATAGAGGCGATAGAGCTCCTAGAAGCGGCAGAAGTGACCGTAGGTTGGGTTTGGTGGCATAAGCTTTCCGTCGAAGGTGGGTTGATACGGCGGAACCAAAGTTTAGGATTTCTTTTTTTGGATTGTTCTTGAAAAACTTATGATGTATTTTCACTTCCATAATAACTCATATCATTTTTTGTTTTCTTGTTGGTAAATAATTAGTAGGAAAATGAAGCTGTTGCTTAAAATTTTTAGAAAACAATTCCTTCGTGAAGAGACCGACAAGGAATGATTGGGCAAGAAGTGAAGAAAATAGACTTTTAAATTTTAATTATCAAATAGAAGAAGAATGAGACACCGAATGTCATTTAGAAGTAAAAAATAATTAGAAGGAAAAAAATGAGATGAAAGGAAAAGAAAGTAGAAGAAAGAAGAGGTCAATCAAAGAGAAGATGGACAAAATGGGTAATTCAGTTCATGCAGTTAGTTGTTGTGCGTTTCGTCCAATTTACAAACCTCGGACTAACCATAAGGGGGTTTTGTAGATATTTGTTTACCAAAGGGGTCGGCATGTAGTTTCAAGTACCACAAGGGGGGTTTATATGAATTAACCCTTATTATTATTGTTGGTAGCAAAATGAACTCTCAACTTTCTTTTTTTATATATATTATTATTTAGGCCTGGTGGTGGATACAACACTTCTATAGGGCTTTTCCTCTACATATTGTGATTTAAAATTAAAGTTGATGAAATATTTTTCCCATTACACTTATGGGACTGGATTGTGTACAGTATATCACTCTTTCATTTTGCTGCTTATTTACCTTTCTCTCCTACCGTGTCACATTTTGTGAATTTGAAGTCATGTTCGAAACCTCAATTTCCCCTCTGGGATCTTGATTAATTCGTTAGCTGTAACTTTCATATTCTAATCCACAATTGACCGATGTTACTTTTATTTTGTTTTCTGTTAGACGATTAAAGAATAAAAACCACTACTACTAGTCAAACTTTTAAAATAGTTACAGATTGCAAAATGTTCTGTTTTATGATTGGATGATTGGAGGAAAAATTATCAGGAACACATAGTTATACTAAGAGCAGAGATTTGAGTTTCATTGATAACCCGAAACAGAGAAAATATATCCAACAACAGGAAGAACCCTATAAATCCTCAAAACTAAACAACATTGTAAACTTTATTGGTGATCGAACTTAATTTCTATGGTGAAGTTTGGATGGAATCACTACAATAAACAGAAGATTGATTCAATCAAGCAGATCCCTTGAGCTTCTTGGTAATGCCAGCAATGTACTTTCCCTGGTGGTGAGCAATGGCAAGCTCAAGCTCAGTTGGCTGCCTGGATCCATCTCCGCCGGCAAAAGTTCCGGCACCATACGGGCTTCCACCCTTCACCTGGCTCATGTCAAACATGCCCGCTCCGGCGGTGTACCCAATTGGCACGAAAATCATTCCATGGTGAGTAAGCTGAGTGATTGCGGTCAATCTGCAACAACGAAATTTTGCCAATTAAAAATTCGTAAACGTCAAAACAGAGATCCAATAAAAACGAAGACTTATAAATTAAATTATAAGTAACTCACGGGGTAGTCTCCTGACCACCTCCTTGAGTTCCAGTCGAGTAGAAGAGCCCGGCAGGCTTTCCGGCGAGCTTCTGGGTTCCCCACAGCCCACCGGTTGCATCCAGGAAAGCTTTGAATTGGGCAGCCATCATCCCGAATCGTGTCGGGAACCCGAAAATGAATCCATCGGCTTCAGGAAGCTCATGGGGAGTGATTATGGGGACATCACTCTTTGGTGGAGCGTGCATTTTTCCCAGAATTTCTTCAGAAAGTGTCTCTGGCACCTATATATAAGATCATTCAAAAAAAAAATCAGCCAAGAAATTATACATTTTTCAGAAGTCAATATGAGGCCGAATCCCTGATTTCCGATAAGGATGATCAAAGGCTTAATAAAGGTAACCGATTTGATTAATTACCTGCCACAGAGTTGCTTCGACACCTTCAACAGTGTCGGCTCCTTTCTTGATCTCCTTGGCAAGCTTCTCAACATGTCCGTAGGTGCTGTAGTAACTGCAGGACAAAAATAATTCATGAAAAAAAGCTTTAAAAAAATAAATAAATTCTGGAAACTAGCTCCATGATCATCCGGAAAAACAGAGAAGAGAACTCTGGACCGATCTTAAGGGATTTTCAAAAGTAGATTGAAGAAAAAGGTGGGATGAACGTACACAATGTAGAGTTTGGTGGCCATTTTGTGTTTCTTTTCTGGCTTTGATTAATCACAAGAAGGGACTTTCTGATTTGAATGTAGCCTTGAGAGAAAGTAGAGAACAGAGAAGAAGTTGGTGATGCCAGGGGAGAAGAACATCAGGGTATTTTATAGTGCAATGGAGGCGTTGACCAGTTCGGTTTGTTAGTTCTTGACTTAAATGCGATGTGGAGTTGGCTGTCAAACTCACTCAAATTTAATCCAATTTGTCGACCAGACACAACGTTGTTATGAAAAACTTTTTTTCGGGTTAATTATATTTAAGGATTGTACTTCACTATTTTAGTCTTATTATTCGAACGTTTTGAAGAAACGACATGGATGTTTAAAGTTTAAACACACATGAGATGGGCATTTTCTTTACTAATCTTTGTACTTTTCGGCAAAAAGAGATATTTCCGATTCGGGTTTAGAAAATTTGAGATTTTGGCAATCGAAAACGTATTCTCTGAATCAGATTCGTCGATAATCTCCAGATAAAAAATAAATTGTGCGTACCGGTTACATTTACTAAAATATTACACGTAGCGAGTTTTAAAGTAAGTATTTGTCGTCAGTTTTGTATTTAAATCGAAAAATGAAATGAAACCAAAAACAAAGTGATGAGGTCATGACGTCATGCTCAACATCATTACCTCGTAATATTTCGTGTTGAAAAAAAATTGTTGATTTACAATATGTAGTACTTTCCGTTAAGGACTAATTGTGAGAATTAAGGACGCCGATGAAATTACGTACGAATTACATATGAAGACTAAATTTATAGACGTCATTAAACGGTCATACCGTCGTCATTAGCCCTTTCACATCATGATGAATTTTCTTCTCCTAACTCAGGGTCTCAAATAAATAATCAAAAAAAAATAAAGCCTAAAATAAAGGAAATTAATATTCGTTGAAGATGTTGGATATATGGTCGTTATATTACTTTCAACTTGGTTGATGCGGTGTTTTAAGCAAAGGAATTTTCACCTGTCTGGGCTATTCTTGTGAATGCAATTTCTTCCCCTTCCTTGCATTTAAACATATATCAATCTTCAAATTCTTTCGTGAGCCTTTTAATCATTATTCGGTATAATATAACAAATGATAATTATATATGAGACAACAACAAAACCAAAATTTTCATAATTTTTATCCATTTCCAAAATTTTCAAATAATTAGCCTTCTAGTCATTATTCGAGTGTACAATGACAAACCAAATTTTTATATGGGGACAAAGGGATTATCATTAAAAAGAAAAAAAAAAAAAAGAGGGTGACGTCAACTGTGAAATGGACAGTAAATTAAATTGATGTTGAGTCAACTAAAATATTTTTAAATATCTGGCAAATGGTTCTTTTCAATCAAAAACTTAGTTAGACAATTAATAAATGACTCTGTGTTTGCTGAAAAGAATCTTCCAATAGGGGCGCCAATCTAACCGACCTGAGTTTGATTTGATTTTCCACTTATTTATACATCGTTTAACACAGCAAAATGTTATCTCAAGAAGAAGATGGCGCCTGCATTTTAATAGTCTTTAGATAATTCAAACAATTTCAGAGTCGATTACGACGACTAGGCAAGCATTACGGATCAATTACGAATGGATGACAACATCACCCGCAGGAAAACATCATTCTTATTATTTCAATTTTACAAGGTAGGGAACAAATCTTTTTTTATTTTTATTTTTTCAATCAACAATTATTCGTTCGTAAGGAATAACCACTCATTGATCATTTTTTTAAACTTAAAAAAAAAAAAATTTAAGTCGAACTAATCCTTTTTCAATAGGACACATGTTCACATTTTTACAAAAGGTGTAAGTAGGGAATAACCACTTATTCATCATTTTTTTAAAAAAAAAAAAAAGAAAAGAAAAAAAGAAATCTGTGTTATTTGATGGATCATCTAACTAACGATACCCCTTGAGCGCGTCAAACTTAAGTAGGTCAGGGACTATTTAGGTGTTCCGTAACCTACATAGATGAACTGCATTGAATGAAGAAATGTACAACCTTTTCATTAAAATTAAAAAAACAATTACGTTCAAAGTATGGAGATTGTTAGGAAAAAGAAAAATCCCTAAACTTTAAAGCCCTAAACAGTTGCAAGTGTGTTTGTTTTGTTCCTTAGAATTTGAAGACAGATGAAATTTGAAGACAAAGTATGTTACGGGAATGGGTTGTTGAATTGAAACACGTATGGAGGGAGGTGAACCTCGCAGCTGACTGTTTAGCGAGAAATCCCCCGAAGTCTTATGGATACGAGAAACTAAATGTACCGCCGACTTTTGTAAAACTTTGTGTGTAATATAATAGTTTGAATCCTAGGCCTTGTGTCTCCTTTGTAACAAAAAAAAAAAAAGAAAATGTTTGAATAAGTTCCGTTTATGTTTTCCTTTTGTGTTGTGCTGTCTTATACTTTGAATTTTTTGACCACCAAAAGAAAGCTTTTAACCTTTTCTTTTTTACCGTTCCCATCATTTAGTGTGACAATGCGTTAACTTCAACTTTTCACGTTTTGCAACATCTTAATTAGCAGACACGAGAACTTTCAATTTTTGCCCAAATGCTTCTTCTTCATCATGGCTTTTAATTATGTGGTGCCGACTGCCGCGTAATAATGTTATCAAAACGGTCGATGTTGGTCATTGTTTGTGGGCTTTTCTGCTACCTTTTGGGCCACCACTTCTATGATGTTGCCTTTCTTATAACATAATTTATCGGGCAAAAGAACAGTTATGTCCAATCATCCTATTTCTCTCCTAGCTTTTTGGTCAAGTTAGTGCCAAAAGCAAAACTAGTACGTACCTACGTATAGTTAAAAACGTCAGAAACTCATTTCCCCCATCAAAGCTGATTTTGTGGACCAATGACGAAAAGAAATAGTAGTCATTTACTGATCATTGCTTCTTCTTCTTTTTTTTTTTTGTACAAGAATATGATGTATGTTTCCTGTCTTGAAAAATAATTTTCATTGCAAATATAAAAATAGAACGTGTAAGACAGAGGAAATATGGCACACGTTACTTAATGATATGACTAAAACCCAAACAAGATTTGGGCCTCCATTTGTAAGATTTCGTCGTTGTAGAAAAAAAGATCCAACTAAATCCATGTGGGTAATAACGAGGGGGGGGAGTTTGTATGTTTACTTTTTAGTCTGTTTCCTTGAGGGAAAACAAAAAGGCACGCATGGCAATATTTCGATGTACTGCTATTTGACAATGATCACGTTATGCCATCGTGAGGATATGCGCTACGATACTTCTTTTTTGTATTTTGCTATCACATTTGGAAACGTATGCTTGAAAATGTATTATTGGTCTCTGATTCTTTGAAATTTATAAAGCAGCCTGCCTGATTCTTTCAGCACCAAGGCAATCAAACAGAAGAATGTCATACTTGACCATGACCCCCAATATTTAAGGCTTATATGGTTTGTAGTTTTTCTACCCAAAATCACTATCCAGTTTAAATTTTAATTCAATTTATACTAAAAATAAGAGTAAATACTTTGTGTGATTGTATCACAACGTGGGAAACATGTCTGAGATCACATCTGATACTAACCACTTATATATCCTAACCGCTGTATAAACAACACACGTAATATATGTAAATTTTGGTGAAGCGGTAGACCCACTTCAATAATTGTATGTGCAAATTAAGTTGGGGTTGTCAAAAAAAAAAAATGTTTAAATTTCATTTGAACGTCAACTTCTAAGGACGAGAGACGACTTAGTTGATCAATCTAGATGATTATCACTAGAATGGGATGCTTGTGAAGCTTATTCAGTTCAGAATTCATAAGAAAAAAAGAAAAAAAACACACACACACACACACAGGAAAAAAAGGTGATTAAAATATTTCATTTGGACGGTAGGTACACCTTCTCCCAAGGGAAGATCTGCGTCAGAACGTGCAACGGTGAACCCGACAAAATGAAATCCACACGAGCACTTACATGGCTGCAGATTTTGCTATGCATTTTTCTTCCTAAAGTTTGTATATATAACCAGGATAATAATCAATATTTGAAGACAAGCACAAAAAACGAGTTTGTTTAAATGTTGAGTAATTCATGGGCAACAACAAGCAGCATGCCAATCCGGATAAGCATGTCATCTTACACGCATCACTTCTCTTTTAAGTTTTTAGTTATACTAACAAAAAGATCAATCAGTCCCGCCACTGCTCATTCTTTCTTCTCAACAAACTAAGGCAGAATCAGACCAGAATGACGTAAATCAAGTGGCCGTATATACTACTCCCTCCGTCCCCAAAAAATAGTCTACATTGAGTTTTCAAATTTATACTAAAAACAGTATAAAACTCAAAACTCAATGTGCACTATTTTTTGAAACGGGGGTAGTACTATATATTGACATGAATGAAATTGCATGAGAGATGTTTCCGGTGGCTCATCAAATCACCATAATAAATCAGTCAAAGGAAAGCTCCAAACATGACAAAAATGTATTGGACTAAAGGCCAAATGCAGAGTTCAAATGTGGAATGGACAACAAAGCAAATAGGAACCCTGTACCCTAACTGCAGGAACCAGCCAAATAAGGCAATTGAAGATAATTTAAGAGATTGGACAAGATCACAATGAATGAAATCATTCACCACCTGAACTACCTGGTTTTAGTAAACATATACGGCTATCACTGTACAACTACGGTAACAAGCGTTGCTGATGAAATAATGTTTGAAGAACATTGAAAGATCAAAATGATCCCGGTAGAGACGGTAAAGTATCAAAAGTAGTGCTGAAGAACATTAAATTAAAAGTACATCTTCAAAGCAAAACAGACACCACAATGTCAACCATCGGGCTTCCAAAAGTACATACAGAATCCTACCAAAATAAGAACTAGGTGAACATGTAAAGCAGCTGTTGGATTTGTAATAATACCAAACAGAAGTTGCTAACACAAAATATAAAAAAGATATTAGTCTATTCCTATACAATATAACTTGAGAAATTTACACCTCAGTTGCGCACCTACGAAACGAGGCTTGTAATTTGGAAAATGCCGCTCTCATCAACAGAACTTTTATGTTAATTCAATGGTTCAATATTAACAAATACTACTTCTCTACCCTATGATTGGTTTCATTCTTTTATCTGCTTGGAAAGCAAAAGAAAAACCATAACCCGAGCACTTCCAAGCAATAGATGACTAAAGAAAAAAGAGGTTTGAACCAGCATGAAAACAGGCAGAAGCAATATTCACAAACCTAAGTAAAGTCTCATTGTAGAATACCAAGCATCAGAGATCAATCAATCAGTCCGTGGAACAAGATCACGCATATTCCACAGAAGAGCTCAACAAAAATGAAGTGTTGAAGCTCAACTCATCAGGAAGCCCAGAAATGAAGTCATAGACAAACAAGCAAAGCAAAGTATCTCTAAAACCATGTCATCTATCAAAGCAACATGTATAACAAAGCGTACTCATTCGGACAAATTATCAACACATTGGAACTTACATCCCAAGAAGAAGAAGCTATCTTTGATTTCTTTTACCAGAACTAAGACAAAGAGGAAACGACATAGGATCTGTTCAGATCTCATCCTTGTTATTGGCAAATGTACAACAAAAGAACAATTTTATCTCTCTTTTTTTTTTTTTTTGTTTCTTTTAACCAAAAGCCTAAATGTTTGTACAGGAAAAAGGAAATGGAGGAACACTATCAACCTAGAAATAGTGTAAAAACTGAACAGATGAGCCCAAAATCCAAAACATTAACGAGAAGATGGTAATAGAGCAGCTCCACTCTCCTTCAAAAGTTCCCAATTTTCATCTACCATACCAAGATGAACACCCAAAAACCTGGAAACTAAAACAACAACCTACATTTGATTAACTTTTCCTTGCAATACCTGAATCAAACTTGTGGCATTTCTCCTCACCTTCTCATTATCATCCTCTAAAAATCCCAAACATATCTCAAAAACTCCTGCTTTTAAAGCTTCAAAACACATTCTTTCGCTACAACTACACAGCAAATTTATAGTCAAAAGCGCGTATTGCACGCCTCTTGAACTCCCCTTCCTCAAAATGAATCTCAAAGTCTCCAAAAATCCATCATGGTTCATCATTTCCTCTCTGCCCTCCACACATTTGGCTAACAAACCCAATACTTCCACTGCTCTTTCAAGTCCTGACCTCACATTCTGTATTAGGATCGGAACAGCCCAGTTCTCGACGGCCCGAACCCGATTATCCGCAAAGGAACAGAGAGTAAACAGAGCCGTGGCTGCCTCTTTTCTCTCCCTCGCACTCCCGGTCCGCAGAAGCCCAATTAGGCCTGGAATCGCATGCCGGTGAGCCCCAATGGTGGCCTTATTGACTTCCACCACGGCCAAGCTGGTCAACACCGTGGCAGCCAACGCTCGGGAGTCTCCGGCGCCGTTGTAAACGGCGTGGACCAATTTTCCGACAGCACCTTCGGCAACAAGCCCAACCTTATTATCATCATCCAAACTCAAGTTCAGCAACAAAGACAGAGCCTTTTCCTGAAGGGAAGCATCGTCATCGGCGTTGACGCACTCCAAAACGGCCGACACGGCGCCGGACTCAGTGAGACGGCGGCGGGCCCCGAAATCCCTCTTACACAGCCTTCCCAACTGGTCAAGCGAGTTCAGCTTGGCGGCCAGAGGAGACGAAACGGAAACCAGAGTTTGTATCAAGGAATGAGGATTGGGTTTGGACTGAGGCTCAGGGAGAGGGACGAGGGTATAATTGGAAATCAAGCTCCGGAGAGCGTGGTTTGGGATTAGGGAAGGCGGGTCGGGTAAGGGTAGCTTGGTAATTGGACAAGTCCGGTGGCCGGCGTCAAGCCACCTCTGGATGGAGGACCGATCAAAAGTGTGACCCGAAGAGAGGATAACCGGGTCGGACATAATCTCCAGGGAAATCGGGCATTTGAAATCGTCTGGAAACTGCACCGTCTGATTACTATTTGCCATTTCTTTTCCCTGATTGAAAATCACTCAAAATTGCATCTGTGTAATTCGTGGTATCTGAAAAAGGGAGAAAAAAAGAAAAGAAAAAAGAAAAAAAAGAGAGAGAGAAAGAAGAGAGAGAGGGAGGAGGTTTATGAGGTTTAGTTCTAAGCTGTGGGGAGGAAGTGAGAGAATTAATATGAGGTTGAGAACTTGACGATGCTTCAGTTTGAGTTTGAGGGAGTGAGTGTCTGAACATTTAGGTGTGCCGAAATGTCCCTTTTAGCCTCCTTTTGGAAATGCCTCGTTTGAACCAAAATCACATTACATCCACGGTCGACCTCCCTGTGATTTGCAAGATAGTTCCTCCTTCCTGACCTTATTATCTAGTTTAGATTTTAATTTTTAATTTAATAGTAAAAGTAAAATTTTAAATTGAAAAATAATTTTAAAATAGAGAGAATATTTTGTTGAGTGCTGACAATTATCTTTGTATTTTCTTTTAAGACTAGAACTTGACTCGGAAGCGTAACAAATATTTATCCAGTGTAATGATAATATCATACACAAAATCTTTTTATTTGAATTGGAAAAAATAAATTGTTCGATTGCATTTGCATCTCATAAAGGTTAAAGATAATAAGGGATAAGGTAAGAAAAGAAAAGTTAATGCCATATGAAATGTGAAATGACTTTGAGAAACAAAGAAATTCAAAAGTTCAAAATGACATATTAAAAGTATAAATATATCATATAATTAATCACCTGCTAAATTGAAAACGATTTTTATTTTTGCCTTAATTACAAACAATATGTCATATGTCCGTTTGTTTTATTTGGTCATAGGCACATTTAACCTCAAAAATGTAATTTGATGTGAATTGTGATCAGATTTCACATCAGTAATTACTTAGAAATGCATTTTATAAGTCTTGTAGTCGAGAGACTGATTGGTAGTTTTCAGTAAATGAAAATATCTTTTAGTAGTTTCCACTAATTACGGGGGATGTTGATGCAATTCTGCTTGATTATTCTCCATAATTTTGGGTTTAGTTTGTGGGGTTTTTGTTTCTTTCTTCTTTTGGTGGTTCTTGTGATTGTGGCTGTGTGATTTGTGCGCCACCCACCCGAAGGAAGGAATCAAGCGCTTACTTTCCTTACCAAATTCATCAATGTCACACTAAAGTCAAGCATTTTTGAGTTCTTAATTGAGTTAATTAGTTCCATCCCTATCTTTTATATTTATATCATTTCTTTTTTTTTTTTAGAATATTCTGCAAATTGTAGTACAGTCTTCTTCCCATATCTGAAATAATTTCAAGCATACTAAAACTCGATATTAATTCTTACTCCTAAATCCTAATCTCTGACCTTACAATAAATTTGTTCATTCATAATTTGTTGTTATTACAACATGAATATACTTCATGAAGAAGCAGTCATTTTTAATATGAATAATTTATTTTAAAAAACCCTGTAATATACCTGATGAAATGGAACAAAAGTAAGGACTAGTACAGCATGGAAGTGAGATGATGTAAGATTAATCTTTCTGTTTGAGTTTTAAATTCAATTCAATTACAATATCGAATATAATCAAAGATGTCATCTAACCTTTTTCAATTTATGTTTAACCCAAAAGAAATTGTGTGGTAAGGACACCTCCATTTTTAACTCATAGATTCAGGGTTCAAACATTGTTACGAACAATTGAACAACGAGCAATTTTAAATTTTTTGGTTAACTGTTTTACCTATCGAGATGTAATATGGAAAAAATAAAAACTTTTTCATCGTTTTTTATACTATCACAGACTAGTTGAATTAAACTACGGAGAAGATGTCTAGAGAGAGAGAGAGAGATCATTGTAATTTTAACAACTATAGTATGGAATACTAGTATTAGTTGATTGGTTTATCAACCACGTTGACTTGTAAACATGGATATGAGTTGAGTTCAGAACGTAACATAAGACCTGCACCCAATTGTTCTTGTTGAATTCATTAATTTGCTAAGTTGATATGACTCCAAAAAAAAAAAAAAGAAGAAGAAGAAGAAAATAATTGGAGATGGAACAAAGATAGTGAAAAAAAAATGATTAGTAATTTGGTAGGTCGTGAGAATTTTTTTATAAAAAAAATGAAGAAGAAAAAAAAAAAACAGGATCTTACTTAGAGACCAATAATAAAAAAAAACACAATAGGAGTAAAATGAAGGAACGTTACAAATGAAAATACGGATAAAATGCAGATTACAAAAATGGAAATGTTACAATAGGCAAAATATTTAATTTATGGTCAGAAGGTAATTTATGGATAATGTACATATCCAGATTTGGATTAGGGGATACTGTTTTAATTAACGGATACTGTTTGATTGGATGAATTTGGAATTACGGATGAATAAGTTATGATTTTACGGCTCTTGTCGGTTGCTTCTGCCCGGAACCAACGGGAATAATAAGGGCCGATTTTTGGGAACCTTTTTCATTAACGCCAAAAGCCAAAGCCATATTTGTGGATAAGAACATATATGTAGGGCTAATTTAGGTAATGCCTTAAAAAATTGGGGGTGTGGGAAAGTGGAAACGGAACGGCTACCTGATTTTGGAGTATCAATCACGGGGCGTTTCTTTTGTCCTCTTTTTTTCTTTTTGTATTTTTTTTTTCCAATCACGGAAAAGGTAAAAACTAAAAAGTAATACTCCCTCCGTCCCACAAAAATAGTCAACATTGAGTTTTGAATTTTGCACTGTTTTTAGTATAAATTTGAAAACTCAATGTAGACTATTTTTTTAGGACGGAGGTAGTATAACTTTAACAAATAGAGGCACCGAACTTCTTGCATCAAAATATTCTTTTAACTCCATGGTAGGATGTTTCTAATCGGTGCAAACCGGGACAAAAAAAGAAACAAAAAAAAAAACCTTTATCTATCTAAAAATTATTGTCCAGTTTAAATTTTTACTTTTAATATAATTTGAACTAAAAATGAAAATTCAAATTGAACAATAATTTCGAGATTAAAAAAGTATGATATACTTTCATAGATTTTTGACGTTATAATATTTGAAGTATCCGTCATTAGTTTTTATTTCATAATTTATAGGATGAGATGATAAAATGACATATTAGGGTTCAAATATCATAGTCCAAAGATATTTGATTGAAAACATTTACTCCGTTGATATAAATCCAGCGGACAGCAACCAACATTGCAAGCGGCCACGGCGGCATTATTTGAAATTTGTGACGGAATGTAAAATCGCGTTTGACATGGGAAGAAAAAAGCGATTGGAGCTAGAAGGTAAGAATTTCTACCTCACATAAAAATGTCAATCCAGAGATAAGCAGGGAATTCTACGGATGATTTTTGAAACCGGGAGATCTCCTGATCTCCATGCGCGCATGAGGGACTTCTGAAGGCAATTAAGGAGTTTTTATCTAGAGATTGGTTGTTAATGTTAACCAAGCTCACAAAAAATGTAATATTATCGCAAACTATTTAACTTGGCGACGTCAAGTTCAGAAAGTTTTATTCGATTGAATTTGTCACCACTAAAAACTATACCACTGTTTCATAAAAAATAGTCTATTCCCGACGTGTTATTGTATAACTTTGTTGCGTTAATACAATTCCCCCTTTATTAAAAAATAAAATGTCAATCCAACAAGTCATGGCCGCGTCAGGTTTGACATTTTATGTTGTGGTTGCTTTTAAAATGATAACATTACCGGCGACGTGGTGGTATTAGATATCGAAAGTTTCGAAACCAAAGCAAACAGGACATAATATTCCGGCGGCTCTATTGCAATGTGATTTACTTTTCCAGAGTATAAAAGAGTATATTAAATTTATGTCATTTCACAAAGTCAACGACTGTTATGTCTTTCATTGAATGCTTCTCCATATATACATATATATGCTCTCATATATACTTCTCTATGCTCTCATGTATATGTATATATATATATATATATATATAGTAGTTCTATCTTAAGAAACTGGACTAATTGTGGTAGATTAAAATATATAGTAGTTCTATCTTAAGAAACTGGAAGGAATATTAATTGAAAATTTGGATAAGAATTGATTTCCTCCATAAATGGAGAAAAAGAAAAGAAAAATTACCATTTCTTAAACTAATTTTTTTTTAAGAAAAGATGTAGGGTGTTTTTATATTTAGGAATAACATAATAATTGATATGACACTAGTTTTTCAAAAATGCACGAGTTAATATCATATAAATTTTGGTCTGCGTGTTCATACTTTTTAAAAGATTTGTTTACCTTAGACTTCAAAGTAACGAATAACTGTTGTTGTATCAGGAAACAACCAAGGCTTGAATCATCCAGGCAAGACACCCTGCCCGTGCCTCTTATTATTTACTACTAGTATATTGTTAATAATATAAGAACTAGATGGTACCCGCACGATGTGCGGGATAAATAAATTATGTATAAAATTGAATATAATAATAATTAAAGAAATATTTTATATTTTAGTAAATTGATATACAATTTAAAATTACTAAATTAAATAATGTTACAATAAAAGTAATTTTTAAACGCTACTTATTTATATAAAAAAATAAAGAGATCTATATATTGATATACATGTTAAATATATTTCATTTTCACGAATCATCATCATATATTTCACATTTTGTCCCTAAGAAAACATCAAACATTGAAATCGTTACTTAAGATTGGCAAAGAAACTCACCATAATGTGTATTCGAAAATCCTTGTTGCAGAAAAATATTTACCCACAACTTGCAAAAGTTAGAAGTGAAAATCTTTTGACACAAAAAAAATAATGATTATTAAATTAAAAAATATAAATTCGAGAGAGAGGGGGAGAGGGAGGGAGAGGAAGAGGAAGAAGAAGAAGAAGAAGAAAAGATTCCAGTATAAACTGGGATTGTAACCCAATTGAGTTTCATAAGTACACTTTATATATATATATATATAATATTATTCAATCCCATCAAAAAATCTTTTCAAATCAATCATCTTTAATATTTTGAATTAAAGAATCACTGATGATCTTGTATTTATTATTTTTGAATTTTAAATAATCATTAATATTGTTTAATGATCAAATCAATACGTAATACCATTATCCAAGCCAATCGGATAATCTTTTTCAATCAATCTTATTTACTGTTGAGATTTTAAAAATTTATCGTTTTCTTTGTCATTTTAGGGAATGCAAATAGAAATTTTACCACACAATTAATTGATATATTTTTATTAAGAGTTGATAACAATTTATTAACTGAAAGTTTAAAGAACTGTTTGAGTAATTGTTGTAAATATTTTTTGTGGCAAAGAATTTTGTCCTATGTGTCAACGGGAGGAGAAGTTTGATTTCCTCTATCTGGTTTCTCTCTTAGTATAATACTATAGACTATAGATGATATATCTCTAAAAATATATTATTATCTACAATTTCATTAATTATTTTCGAATTTTAAAAAAATATTAATATTGTTTCATGATCAAACCAATATGCAATGACATTATTCAAGCCAATCGAAAAATCTTTTCAAAACAATCAATGTTATTGTTGAATTAAAGAATCAATGATGATTTTGTATTTATTATTTCTAATCTCAAAAAAATATTAATATTGTTTAATGATCAAACCAATATTAATAGCATAACTCAAGCCCATCAAAAAATTTTTTCCAATCAATTAACTTTAATATTGAATTAAAGAATCACTGATGATTTTGTATTTATTATTTTCAAATTTCAAATTAATTGAATTAAAGACTTAATACCATTATCCAAGCCACGGGCACATCTTTTTCAAATCAATCTTATTTAATGTTGAGATTTTAAAAATTTCTCGTTTTCTTTTTCATTTTAGGGAATGCAAAATAGAAAGTTTACCACACAATTAATTGATATACTTTAATTAAGAATTTATAATAATTTATTAACTGAAAATTCAAAGGACTATTTGTGTAATTGTTGTAAATATTTTTAGTGTCAACTTATAAGAAAATGACACATAGGATTTTGTCCTATGTGTCAACGGGAGGAGAAGTTTGATTTCCTCTCTGGTTTCTCTATTAATATAACTAGTGATGTCTGGTCGCACAACGCGCGACTCTGGCCCAGTCTATCTGTAAATCTTAGAAATGTTTATATTTGAAAAAAAATAAAATTTTGTATTTGGAGCGATATATTTTAGAAATGTTTGAAGGATTTAGAAATGTTTTATAAGTGTGATCATAGAAATAATTGTATTTCACAAAAAAAAAAAGAAATTGTATTTCGCCATGTAAGTTATAAAAATATTTTATAAGTGTTACTTATTAAATATAAATAGCCTTAATCCAATATATGTATTGAAGTAAATGTTAGATAAAATATAAAAACATACTAATAAATTTATATATTAGTAAGATGATTTATTGATGTTCGGTCGTGCCAAATCAATACTTAGTTTTGGAGATTTTTAATAGCTTTATAATAAGCTTCATCCGTAGGGTATACGCTTAAAACAAAATTGACACTTTGTAACAAAAACCTAATTGATCAATTTAACTTAAAAAACCACTCTAAATGAATGAAACATAAAGAAAAATTTTTTTTAAAAAAAAACGTGTCACGTAAAGTGCAAAGGGAGATTTAGTAATTTAGTTATGGTTTAGACAAAAGGGCAATTTAGTACTTTCTATATGCCACGTGGCAATCATATGAGGTGTTTGAAAGGGAGGTTTTTGTTTCTAATATAGTAGGATATAATACTATAGATGCGAGACTTTGGGTTTGTGAAAGTGACTAAAATGGTTGCATGAATGGAGGGGAGCTCGGGTCCTTTTCTTTTCTGGTGCTTATAATTGTATAAGTGGTCACACTATTTATTTACCAATTTAAGGTCCACCACCCTTACAATTCAGAACACTATCTCATATCCCCCACATCATCTTCATTCACCTCAAATACAACCAAAACTCTCATCTTCATAAACTAGTTCATCCATGCTTCTTTCACAATTATAGCAGTTTTTTTTTTCCCCAATTTTCATTTCTTATAATTGTCCTGAATTTTATAAAACTTTTGATATTTTTTCCCCTCTAAAAGGTATGGCTTGATTATTCGAATTCATGATCATTCATTCCTTAAAAGAGAATGTGCAATCTTCTCTCTCTCTTCCTACTTCTTCCGTCTCATAATTATTGTGCAGTTTGAGTTTTCATTTTTAGTTCAAATTGTACTAAAAATGAAATATCAAACCGGACAATAATTTTGGGACAGAGGGAGTATTTTTTTTCCCTCAAAGAAATAGAGAAATTAAAGCCTAAAAAATAATTGCTTGAGAAAAATGTGAATGGCATTTCCACATATTTTATATGCGTTTGGTTACAAAAGTGGTTTTCCATATCAGGTAAAATTTTCAAAAGTAAAGCTTGTTTTGGACCAAGTCTCAAAGGGTATTGTTTAATTTTACTCTAATAATGAAAGAAGTGCCTTATCTCTTTTTTTCCTTCTTCCAATTAATTATAATGTTTTTGGTACAACATGTGATAATGGAGGAGAGATGGGATGAGATTACTTTCATAACTGTTCCCACGTTAATAATTTCGAAAATTGGCCACTTTGGAGGAATTGCTGGCAAAGAGATTGTTTTTCCCTGTTCATATATGGAATAATGGAACTATATACGGAAGAGTCTATTATTGAAAAAGTTCAGTTTTGAATTATTTTGTTCCAAGTAATCGAAAAACAACCAAAGGAAGAAAAGTAAGAGAGAAGATTTACCGTTTATTTCAACTTTTAAAGCGTATACTATTGCATGAAACATTAATACTATTTCCAATTTATAACGACAACATTTAGTTTTTTTTTTTTCTGTATGAAATAATTTCATTATTAATTTTTTCTTAAAAAAAATCCATCCCAGTTGACTCCAGTTAAATGTGGGTAAACCTCCTTTACTACTCTTAGTGGGAATCGAACCCTGGTCTATCACCAGCCTGTCGTTCAATACCCATTTCGTTATCAATTTAAAAGAGAAGAAGTGAGTAATTGTAAATTATTGTTGTTGTAGTATTGTGGAAGAATTTCTAAAAATTAAGATCCAAGGTAAACTCTTTTACTCGAAACCAAAATGATTTCCACATTTTATTTTGTCACCAAGTACAAGAAAAATCACGAAATGCGATCCTTGTTAAATTCAAAAAAAAAAAAAAAAAGGTTTAAAAAGAAAAAACAATAGGTCATGAGTTTTGTTAGGGGATCGAATATATGCTGCCAATTCCTAGAATCTTTTCTCTGACATGTATGAGTGATATAGTATATTTTTTAGTTTTAAAAAAAAAACTCTTATTGTAAATTTGTCAGACTTCATTTATTAATTACCTAACATAATTAGCTAATCCCAGTCGTGGTTAATCTAATCTTTCGTGGAAGAAAAACTGATGAAATTTAAGTGGGAACAAGAAGATCAATCAATTTAGGAGCATGCTACAAAAGCAAGTTATAATAAAAGAAGCCCTGCATCATGTGATCATTTATCCAATCGTTTAATCAAATCATTACCCTTTTTCCCGACAATTTCAGAATATGAGCCGTAAAAGAAATACTCCCTCTGTCTCATAATTATTGTCCAATTTGAGATTTCATTTTTAGTACGATTTGAACTAGAAATAAAAACCTAAACTGGACAATAATTATGGAACGAAGGGAGTAACAGTGATCAAAAGGAGCAATCATTGCAGAAAATCTTGTACAAAGTCCTCTTCTTCCAGCAATTTAAATGACAGTGCCAGTATATGCATTAACTCAAGACTCAATCTATACATCAAAATGCAAAAATATCAGCTGGTTAATAGCACCATCACCATCCAAATCTCCTCCTTCGATAATGAGTTCGATCTCATACCCTTTGAGTTCTTGCAGTCCTAGAAGAGTAGTATTCTTCTTTAGGCTACCAAAAAGGATCAAACATCCATCAGTAGCTGAAATCCATTACACAGATCTTCAAAATGAAAGGCAAATCAATCCTTCCCCTCCAAGCTTTTTAGGCCATGAAAGGCAACAGATCTTCAAAATGACCGGAGGTCTGGAAATTGCTTTTGTCCACCGGAGTTGGGTCTAATGCTTCGTATTAAACTGATACCTGAATTTTAACACACATGCAAGACAGGGTATTAAGTCTTTGGATAGCCAATAGGAGAAAATATATAAGACATCATGTATGCGCAGTACAGTAGTGAACAGGTTACAGGTCTAAGCCAGAGTTCAGATAATTCTGGAAAGGCATCTGTCGAACCAAAGAACTTAGCAATGCTGGGGGATTTCCTTAATTTAATGGACATAAAATAGCCACAAACATGGCAATCATTTCGGGATAGAGGGAGAACAAAAGTTTGGTGGTAGAAGTTACATAACTGGGTCAACAAAGGAGTAATGCTTTATGATGTCTTATAACTCCACGCCAAAGGTCAATGCATTCAGCCAACAAAAAGGTTGTGAACTGATGAGCAATTCAAAAGAAGAACAAGGGCTTTGACATTGTATGTCAACACCAGATAACCCCACAAACAATGGAGAAATTTGAAGTTAAACCACCAAATAAGAAACAGAAATTTGAGCTACGATCTAATGCTTTTGGCAGCTGAATTGAATGAAAACTTGACGAACTTTTTAAGATTCTACATTCCTGAGAAAGCAAAATCTTCAAAGTTTATAGATTGAAACTCTCAAAAAAAATAATTTTCTAAACATATTCACAAGGTGTTGAACCACAACCAAAATGTCCGGAAATAATGAGGGGAAATTCTGAGTCAACCATAGAGTTAAGGGATGTCAGGCATATAACAGAAAACAGCCAGAAATAAATCTGTCAAGATTAAAACAGTAACATTTGGCTCATCAAGAGCACAAAGATAATCCAGTCAATTAACTGGGAAAAAAAAATACACAATTCACCAAAGAGTTTAAGCAAATATACTGAACAGTAATATTGAAACTGGACAACACAAAGGCAAGGTACATAATCGCTCCTCAAGTCAAAGTTTCACCACTATTTCATCCAAGGTTAGATGATCATAGGTATAAAAGAGTAGAGGGAAGCCTAACTAGCTATCAGGAGCCAAGTAGAACCAGAAGAGGAGCACAATTTAATATTAGTAATAAAAAAATAAAACTACAGTATCTCATAGTAGCTCGTGACTCGTGAATTACTTGATTTTTCGAGTTGGTTACTCACCCTCCATCATAAAGAAAAAGGAAAAAAAAAAAAAAAACGAAGTCACCCTCCATTATATAACTTCTCTTCCTTTACTCACTATTAATAAACATTGGCAGGCTCCAGAAACAGTCTTTGGTCTCAACAAGTTTTCTACTTCTTAATAAATCCGCACTAACCTTAACGTTAATGTGGAACCAGGTAAAAGCTCAATTAAAATAGTAGAATACGTAGCTAAGAGTTTTCAAAACATAAAACAAGTTAAGACAGGCCGGGAATATAAATAGGATAGACACATATGAGAGAGAAAAGTACCTCCAACCAACTTTGAGACGGAGCAGAATCATTTAATGCATGTAGGCTTTTTTGCGTTATAATAGAAATGAGCCATCATTTGCACTAGCTCTTCAGCAGTCCGCATCTCTGCAAATTGTGCCAGAAACTTCAGCAGTCCACACATGTAGGCTTTTCAAACAGCATGGAGACTGAATACTTAACCGTACCTTTTTCCCTATGTAGTATCCTGTTTCCTCGCAAGAACAATATTTGAGGACATTCTTTAACTTTCAGCGCATAAGCTAGATCCTTCTCAATGTTGATGTCTAGCTTTACTGTCTGTTTGAACATGTAAGAGTCAAAGACAAATCTAACATGCGAAATCACAGCAAAATCAATTTCATCAACTCTGTGCCTACTTGGATACTGATAAAATGACTTCATTACAGAGAAAGCTTAATAATGTGCATATCCACATATCAGAAGTGTCGGCAGTGTCATTAACATCCACATAAAAAAGTAAAGGAAAAAAGAGATTCACATACCCGAGGAGGCAATCGATCCTTGCATTTCCAGTACACCTCTGCAGCCTTCTCAAGTTCTTTCAGAACTTTCCAGTTTTCACTTGACCTGAAACTCAATAGCTGATGTCACAGACTTTTCAGAATGATAAGCAATCAAAAACAAGAAAGAGAACAAAGAACAAAGACAACAATGGCAGTTGCTCTAAGTTGAGTTTTGAATATTACCTGTTGTATCTTTCAAAAACAAGAACTACCAATGGGCTGGGTCGAAATGCGAAGCTTTCCCATTCAAGACAATTTATTTCCTTCACTAAGCCATTATCAACCTCCCCTTCCCAATCAATCTCAAAACCATCTTCGTCAAGAACATTTTTAATAGGGTAATTCTCAAAATATTCTGACGCCCTAGTTCCCCAGCCTACGTCTGCATCCAGAGGCCAATTGGGATCCTCCTCCTCAACAACCATCTTGCTTTCAATGTTTGCATGATCCTGAGCTTCACTATTGCCACTATCCTCAGAACCAATATCATCATCCTCATCATCACCAACCTTCTCTTTTATTATTCTTCCCCAGTCTTTCAAGATTTCTGGATTCTGTTCTCTGATCGATGCAAATGTCCGCTCAAGTTTACCACGTACAAGATCCTCAACTGCAGCTGCTTCACTTTTCCGGCCACGTCTTGTTCTTTTAGGTTTAGTAATGGTGAACGTCCCATTAGGATCATTCACTTCATTTTTTGCTGATTTTGAGTTCTGAATCTGAGAAGTTGATCTTTTAGGCTTCAAACTTGGATTTGGACTAGGATTTTCATCAGGTCCTGAATTATTATTTCGACTGATGGCTGCTAAGCAAGTCGGCGTTTTGAGCAGATGCCATCTTTTTGAAGATGGGTGCAAGAAGAATCTCTGGAAATGCTGATGGCTTGAAATGGTAAGAGCCACATCACAGAAAGAAACTGACGAGCCACATAAGGAGAATCCAGTGTGTAGGGAAGCAACAGCCATTTTTCCTTTCTTTCTACTTCAAAATAACTCAAAGCACTGTTCCTTCAGCAAACATGCTTCCTCAGATAGATAACTCAAAGTAATTGAACCATCTTGTTGCTGAGAAAAAATACAGTAGTGCTAGTTAACACGAAATTTGAAATAATGTTGAAAATTAAGCTAACCATGTCAACGAAACAGGAAAGGTAACTGAGGCTTGAATAAGAATCCCCCACATTCAATTTCTTTTCCCACTAAGTTGATTTTCTCCCTAAAAATTTCCTCCATGGAGAATTTTTTTCTAGAAAAGCCCTAAACACACCTAGCTTAAATGTACCCTATGTCATGAAATTCAACACGTACCACTTCCTTTTTCATTTGTTTAACTAGATGGAGGTGGTGATAACTGTACATACAAAACATACACCAAAACAGCAATGAACAAGCAGCAATGACGAACACGGATCCTGACCACATTAAAGTTTAAATCTTTAACTAGCTAGCTGAATGAGATTCCGGGAACCAATAACTACAAAGAAAAAAAGAAAACAAAAATCATCAAATGAGAACCAACTAATGAGCAGATACCCCAAAAAAAAAATAATAATAAGAAGCAGAGTAAGGGAAACCGAGTATCCATTATAGTCTAACAAAAAATTAGAATTAAACTACCACAAATTTCAATTTGAAGTGCAAATCGAAGGAAGGGGAATACCTCAGCGTGTTCTTCATACCCTTTTCCCGCTGCCGAGAGTTATGGAAGTTTTTGGTGGGGGTTTATCAATCGCTTGCTCTGGAAATACTGTAGAAAATGGAAGGAAAATGATCTTTTTAACTCTGGAATGGATAAAGAGAAAACTTTTAAATCACCCAATTGGTCCCCTGGTTTTGAGATTTATGACTCTACTGGGCTGTTTAATTTTCATAATTATCAAAAGTTATTCATAATGAAGTAGTATTTCAAGCAAGTCCAATCAAATAGAACGGTCAAATGAATTGATGAGACATAACAATTGTATTCGACCAAAATATTGGGAGACTTTACCATTTTGGAGGGAGTTTTCTCGAGTTTAAAAGGGATTACTATCAGTGTGCGACGTAAGTTCATAACCGATTGAGTACGATATTTTTTTGATTTGATATTTATATAAACGACGATTAGTGAAGTAAAATCAAGACCTTGAAGTCAATGACTAAAATTAGTTCGTGATTCATTATGTGTAATTTGTAATTAAGTTCATGAGCCATAACCATATTTTAAGACGTGATAAGAGGGGAAAAAAAAAGAAGTCAAATAATATTATCTTGAGAGAGGCAAACGTACAAGAGTTATCTATTAACTACTGAAAAAGTGTATGGTTACAAAATGAAGTTTGTTCAGTTTAGCGACCTTGGATTACAGTGATTGAAAAATCGTCCATAAATGTTCCCGAAGAAGGAGTAGATTGATATGGACTATTTTCTTTGTTATAATTAAGCTTCTTAATGACATAAGCTGGTTGTTTAGGAGAGGTTGAAGGAATTGATGTTTCGTGACAAAGCATGGAAAGAACTTGAGACATTGTTGGTCGATCCATTGCGCGTTCTTGAACGCAGAAAAGACCAATCTGAATACATCTGCCAACTTCAACATGGTTCAAAGCTTCATCATCCCCCATTGCTGGATCAATAATTTCCAGGGCATTTCCTTCTTGCCAGAGTTCCCAAACCTGGAATCATGCATGATGTAAAAAAGGTTTTCATATTTTATAATTTTCGACAAATCTTCATCATAGTTTTAATCACATAAACAGAAGATACTCACGTATCCGATTAAGCTAACTGCATTGTCACTGAAATAGCTGTTATTTCTCCTGCCGGTGATGATCTCCAGCAACAGAACTCCATAGCTGAAAACGTCGGATTTCTCCGAAAACAGACCTTGCATTGCGTATTCTGGTGCCATATAACCACTGGGATCATACCATAAAAAAAAAAAAAGCCAAATTGAGCTGCATTATCCTGAACCTACTAAAATTCAAACAGTAATAAATAGTATGACACAGTTAAGGACGTACTAAGTTCCCATTACTCTCTGTGTTTTGGCCTCCATCTGGTCTGCATTGAAAATTCTAGCCATCCCAAAATCCGATATTTTTGGTTCCATGTTTGCATCTAGTAAGACATTGCTTGCTTTCAAATCTCTGTGGATGATTCTCAATCGCGAATCGCGATGAAGATATACAATCCCCCGAGCTATGCCAATGATTATATGAAGCCGTTTTTTCCAATCCAGCAATACCCCTTTCTCTTTATCTGCACAATGAAGTATCGAAAAAGGGTTGCGATTTATTCACCAGCTTTGGAAGGTAAGAAAATTCTTCGGATTTGTGGAAGACATACGAAAGATGAAATTGTCGAGTCCTTTGTTTGGCAAGTATTCGTATACCAACATTTTCTCCTCTTGTTGGATGCAACATCCTAAAAGCTTGACAAGATTCCTATGTTGGAGCCTTGCAATCAAAGCAGCTTCGTTTTTGAATTCTTCCACGCCTTGCCCTGAACTTTTAGACAGTCTTTTGATAGCTATTTCTCTGCCATTCTGCAGCTGACCCTGAATTATCGACGTGGATAAATCAGTTCAAGCACTCAAATCTGCAAGGTTTGTGCAAATAACTCCTCCCTGCATATGTACTAATGAAAGTAGTCTTTGATATAATTGCACACAACTGATTAACCTGGATAAATCACCTTATAGACTGAGCCAAAACCACCTTCACCGAGTTTGTCGGCAAAATCAAAACAATTTGTAGCTGAAATAATGGATTTTAGATCGAATACAGCTAACTCTCCGTTCTCATCTATCTCCTCTGTCCTTGGAGTGACTCCATTGGTTGATTCTCTATCAAGGTTAAAGCTAATTAACCCCCTGATTTTATGTCTTTTACCTGCAATATGTACATAAAAAAAAAATCCGGGAACTCGTCAGGGTGGTAATTTTCATACCACAGAAACTCGACAGGATTCTAACTGGAAGGAATGGTACTACTGCATATTAGAGGGTTGTGGCATTCTAAAGTTTGATACTTATATTAACAATCAAGATACAATAACACCGCAGATGCGAGACATAGCTCGATTGTCACCCCTAACAAAACGTGTAAATCATTGAAAAGATCTTCCAACTTCCAAGTAGTTTCAAATGAGTTAATGCAGGATGTAGTGTAGGAGTAAAACTTGGAACATAACTCTTTACCTTTGCGCTTCCATGATACCACCAAAATTGCAAAAACCAGCAATAGAAGCCCTGATACGGATGGCACCAGGACGATGATTAGCCTTTTTCTATGCGATCTCTTCAAGTACTTCAGATATTGAGCTGGAAAAGTCAAACAAACAAGTTCTGATTACACAGGTAATACTCATTAGCGTAAATATTGCGAGCTTTGAGGTCGATTAGAAAGTTAACGATAAACATTACTCATATTCTCCCCTTCCAAAGTTCCCTACTTTTCAAAGAAAATTACTCCAAAGTGGGTTCGCACGTGAAAACGTTGAAACTCATTTGTTAATTGTTACATCAGTATTCAAAAATTGTTGGATTTTCTAAACCACTTTTTTCAAGATGAAGTTCTTTTCACAGAATTTGAGCAAAGACTAAAACTTATTAAATTGTCAGCCGTGAAGAAAAAATGATATGCATCAGCAATGAATCAACAAGGACAAAGACATCTCACCTAACTCAGATGCAGAAACTCTAATGTAAACATCCTGGCCGCCTGTAGAAAACTGCCTCATGTCAATCAAGTCGCCGTACCAAGTGATGCAACCACTTCCACCATTTTCGACATTAGAATTTGCATAAGCTGTGCACGAACAATTTTTCAAGCACAAATCTGCACATTCTTCAAGTCCCATACTCCGATTTCCAATCGCATTCGTGGTGTCTGGAACCTTAACAGATGCCATTCTGATGAAACCGACATCAGAACTACTGTTTCGACAGGTTTGTTCCCCGGGCTTTCTTTTGCAGCCATTAGTAGCATCCCTCAAGTACCACTCGCTTTCGACTTTAGGCTCATAACCTGGAAGACATTGGCACTCAAATTCACCCAAATTATAAGGATCGCAAATGCTGAATGATCCACAATGCCTGTAAGAATCGCAACCATCATCCCTCGGGTTAGACCAAAACTTTACCCACTTATGCTGATCTTTTTGCCATGTAACCCTCTCTACAACTCCAGATTCATCTACCATTACCCTAGAAAAAATCGAGGGATCTCGAATGCCAAACGAAAGGCTGACTTCATCATCATTCTCAATGTAACTAGAAGTAAAAATGTAACTCAAAGGCCAATCAGCTACGCCAGTCAAACGCTCCCCATTCCATGACCCTCCTCGCCATATCTTTTCGGAGTTTTTGTACAAGAAAAACTGTGGTGGTGAACTATTTAGGTCTACTTTATGCTGAACATCCCCTGTCCCCGGATCATCTGCCGACTTCCAAGACGTTAAGCACCATACCAAACCAGAAGTCCGATTCACCCCTTGTTTCATGTAAGGAAGCAAAGAATCAGTAGGATAATGAAAGCTCTCCCACAAAATATTATTATTGCTTGTACTTTGATTTAAACCTTGGTATAACACCAGATTCCCTGTATCCATGAGCTGAATGAAATAAGAATCTGCGGCCAAACCGGAAACGTTAGTAGACCAAAACAGCCTGTTGCTGCTCTGATCCCGTAGAACAAGATTGCCAGAAGTTTCAATAGACAGAACTCCATTGGTGCCATTGATGGGGTCATCCCGATTTGCAACCCAAACCACAGTTTGTTCTGAAACACTGTTATACCAAATACCAACATAACGACGATTCAGGGATTTTCCAGGGCTGAAGAAACCAAAGGCAAAGTTGTTTCCACTTGAAACTAGCATATCTCCATCCTTGAAAGGCTGGTTTTGTGTGATTAAGTCATTGGAAGTACAATAATGGAGAAAGGTAGCCAAGAAAATGATGCATAAGTAACTATGTTTCAGTGGCATTGGTACAGTATTTGGTGGCTTTAGAAGTTGCAAATTGAGGCTTTTGATGGTACCAGGGTTCTATCATTCTATGCTTTGATGATTACCAAGTTGTAACTGGAGCAACCAAAATAAAATATGATGTATATTGGTTGAATATGTGGAATCCTGGCCCTCTGAGAAATTGTCAGAGTACATCTTTCTTGACTTAGTACTATGATGAATTATTGAATATACATTTCTTTCCGTATGAGTATCTCAAATGAAGCTAATGTGTCATAATTGAGATGTTAACAAGAATTCTCTACGATGTACAAAAAAAATCTAGGACTCGTGAATCTGGAAAAATTATTTTTCCATCACAATGGATACAAACAATCTTTTGAAGGGTGAAATTCTAAATTCCAAACTCTCTAGTATATCTAGTTATTTAGTCTATTAAAATAGGCCAGAGAATACGTATATTATAAATGAGTACATTAATTTTAAGTGTCTTTCTAGGCAGGGGGGGTACCAAAATTTCAAAGTATAATCACCATTCACCAGCGACTTCAGAAAGGGCCGATTTGTTTATCCATGGAAAAATGCAAAAAGTCTTAATCATCTTCCAGAAAATGAGACTTCCTTCCCTAATATGCCTCTATATAGGATTATTTTATTTTATTTTATTTTATTTTTTATTTAAAAAGCATAACGATAACACCTGAAACAATATATTATCACATATCACTATCAATCATTTAAAAATTTTCATCATTAGAACTTGACATTGAAAGTTTCTCTTGTTGTAATATGAGGTGTTAGCCTTTTTTTTTTTTTTTTTAAAGGAAATTTGATTTCCTCCTCCATACACTTGTGATTTGAGTTGTGACTACATTTCAACGTTTATTGACCCTTATTAGAAAAGTCTTCCTCTTTGACTGCCTAGTCATAAACTGAGGCATGGATGAATTGGCAACCTCATGAGTGGATTATTACCTGCCTAATTGCCTAACAATATAGACCTGATAAAACTTGTATGGAGCAGAAATGGTGGTAACTAACTATAATTTAGTAAATTGTTGTGACTTGTAAATGTGAGCATCAAGATGAATATTCAAATCAATCATATCGAAAAATCTTCAGAACCGTGAACAAAATCATAGCAGTATTCTTGTAGTACTAGTCAGCATATCTGAGAACTAGATTTTTTGTTATCAAGAAATGCCATGATCCCATTCTCCGGACAAATTATCAAACAGGTTATCAAATCAAACACTCACCTCCAAAGTAAGCAAGCATGGTTTTATCAAAAAACTCATTTCCAGCTTCTAAATCCATAAAGAAGCCTGTCAACAACCATCCGAAAAGATGAACAGGTATTTCTGGATGATCATCGCCTTCTTGTTCACATATTTCCAACATAACTGTTGTACTTCCAACGATTCCATTACCCAAAATCAGCTTTTCAAAGACGGGGATTTATTAGTATCCAGTGGAAACTCCTTTGCCTTTGGTTTCTTCAGCCCTGGAAATTCCCAAAATCGTTATGTTGGGATTTGGTACCACAAAATCTCAGAACAAACTGTGGTATGGGTAGTAAATCGGGACAACCCGATCAACGGCACCTCTGGGATTCTCTCCATTGAAAATCCTGGAAATCTTGTTCTACGTGATCACAGTAGCAATCAGCTGATATGGTCTACAAATGCTTCGATTTCGGGTTCTTTCCTTCAGCTGATGGAAACAGGGAACTTGGTCTTATTTGGAGGAGACAAAAACAAGGGCATCATTTCGTGGCAGAGCTTTGATTATCCTACTAATACTCTGCTTCCTCTCATGAAAGAAGGGGTGAACCGGACCTCCGGTTTCCAGTGGAGCTCAACATCTTGGAAGTCCAAAAATGTCCCAGGAACAGGCGATTTTCAAAATAAGATGGATCTTAAGGGTTCCCCCCAAATCTTTGTGTACAAAAATTCTGGAAGGTTATGGAGGTCAGGGCCATGGAACGGGCTTCTGTGGAGCGGAGTACCTTATGTGAATACCAATTCCATTTTCAGCGTTATTTATGTCGAGAATGATGACGAAGTTAGTGCTTCCTTTGGTATTCGCAATCCATCAATTCTTTCAAGAATAACTATAAACGAATCAGGGACCCTGGAGAGGCTAACATGGCAACAAAGCCGGAAGAGCTGGGTTAGATTTTGGTCCGCCCCGATGGATCATTGCGACCACTACAGCCATTGTGGCTCATTCGGTATCTGTGATCCGTATAGATTGGCTGAATTTGAGTGTGAATGCCTTCCGGGTTACGAGCCGAAGGTCAAGAGTGAATGGTATCTGAGGGATGGTGCCAATGGCTGCATAAGAAAGCCTGGAGAACAAATTTGTGGAAATAGTAGTGCTGATGTTGGGTTCCTGAAATTGAACTCTGTGAAGGTTCCTGACACTATGAACACGGTTGTAAATTTCGTCGTGGGGTTAAAAGAATGCGAGGTTTCGTGCTAACAGAATTGTTCATGCACAGCTTATGCAAGTGCTAATATCAGCAATGGTGGAAGTGGCTGCATCGCTTGGTATGGTGACTTGATAGATATAAGGAAGTTTTCAGACGGGGGACAGGATTTATATAAGGAAGTTTTCAGACAGGGTTTCAGCAAGTGAATTAGGTAACTAAGGATGGAATTTCCCTTTATGAATTCATCAAATCTAATTGCTCTCATGCTTAACAGTTTTACACTCATTTTTCCAGCTCAACATCTGAAGAACACAAAGGGGGAGAATAGCAGAAAGTTAATAATCATCCTGATACTATCTATAGCAGGCGTTTCATCATCGGTTTTTGCAGTTTGGCTGATATTGTGGATGCGCAAAGGTAAGAAAGCCTTAGTCTGATTTGTTTGTACATTTTTTTTTTCGACAGAGTATGCTTTAAAACACTTCCTTCTTACATTTGTTGTAACATAAACTAATACCAGTTATTTCCAAATTTTTAATCAATGAAAAATTTCAATATGTACTTCCACAATTTGGAAAGAAAAACATTCAGATAATATTAAATTCGCTAGCTGAAGATCATTTCAGTGATTTACACATTTGTTCCGAATTTATCTGCTCTTGGAGGAGTTCATGGATTATTCAGGCCTGGGTAAACGTGCAGGTCAAAGACAGAATTTCTTAGTTTCAGTTTTGACCAAAGGTCCTCATTTGGAGTCGCTCGAAGGAAAGGGGAAACAGATGAAAAGGATGAGATTTGTGTGTTTGATCTGAAAACTATTATATCAGCAACTAATTCTTTTGCTTCTGCGAATAAACTTGGAGAAGGCGGTTTCGGATCAGTTTTTAAGGTAATTTTTAAGAATAGAACTCAATTGTACCATGTCTACCACTTGAGAAGTTATTAACAAATGGAACTTGATTCAGGGTCAGCTTCAGAATGGCGAGAAATCGCGGTAAAAAGATTGTCAAGAAATTCAGGACAAGGAATAGAGGAATTAAAAAATGAAGCTACCCTGATTGGAAGGCTTCAGCACAGGAATCTTGTTAAACTTTTGGGATTTTGCATTCAGCATGAGGAGAAAATGTTAGTGTACGAATACTTGCCAAACAAAGGACTTGATAATTACATCTTCGGTAGGGTTTCCTGTGAGACATTATTACTCCTCTGTCCCAAACTTATTGTCCAATTTGAGATCTTATTTTTAGTATAATTTGAACCAAAAATGAAAATCTAAACTGGACAGTAATTTTGGGACGGAGGGAGTATTTTGTTTTCTTTTCTCCGCGGTGACGATACTGATCAGTATAGAACAATCACTTCCCTTTTCAACATGGATATTCCAGATAAGGAAAAAGGAGCATCGTTGGACTGGAGAAAACGTTCTGAGATAATCTTAGGCATTGCACGGGGCATGGTATATCTTCATCGCGATTCACGGTTAAAAATCATACACAGAGATCTGAAATCCAGCAATGTGTTACTAGATGCAAACATGGAACCGAAAATATCAGATTTTGGGATGGCTAGGATTTTCGGAGCAGACCAGATGGAGGCAAAAACACACAAAGTAGTCGGAACATAGTAAGTCTTTCATTACCTTTTCTTTTAATGTTTCCCCTGAAATGATTTCTGAAACCATGAAGCGGAAACAGGAAAGAAAATTGACCCTCTTGTTTCATTCCAGTGGTTATATGTCACCAGAATATGCAATGCAAGGTTTGTTTTCGGAAAAATCTGATGTTTTCAGCTATGGAGTTCTACTGCTAGAGATTATAAGTGGGAAGAAAAATAACAGTTATTTCAGTGACAATAGTCTGAACTTAATTGGACATGTAAGTTCCCATAAAGTTGTTGTAATTATACCCTGTCGAATTGAATCTCGCGCAATAGTTTGATCTATGATCATAAACCATTGCAGGTACGGAGGCTGTGGAAAGAAGGCAAGGCCATGGATTTAGTTGATCCAGCAGTGGGTGAATCATATAACCATGATGAGGTTTCCAGGTGCATTCAAATTGGCCTTTTGTGTGTTCAAGAGCAAGCCATGGATCGGCCCATAATGTCCAAAGTGCTTTCGATGTTATGTAATGAAACATCAATCAGTTCAGCTTCTCCCAAAAAACCAGCTTTTGTCATTGAAAAGGTCGACAATATTACTCCTTCACTTGCATTATCTCCTATTTAGGTGCATCTGTGAATGATGTAACGATTACTGTAATTCAAGCCCGGTAAAACAACATTTTACATTGAAATGATTTGGTTTGTTATAATTAATCCCGTGTCTATCAATTTGGGCAATGGTTAAAATCCTCTTTTTGAACTTGAAAACAAGTGAAAGACACTTGTCCGATATTGGAAACGGTAACCCAACTTGACCACATGTTTTCTAGGACGTAGTAATTCACATGTTTTCTTCCACTTTATTTTACCCCTGGAATTTTCAGCTCTGTGTAAAATAAATAATACAGGTCAAAGACAAAACAGAAAAGACGTGATAGATGAAAAGGGAGAGATATATGTATTTGATCTAAGAACCATATCTTCAGCTACTCATTCACTTTCTTTAACTAACAAACTCGGAGAAGGTGGTGTTTATGGTGATTTTTCTGAGTTTATTCCCTTTACTGGTTTAAAATCAAGAACATTATTGATTATACGTGGAAATGAGACCAGAGGAAAAAAAAATTTCATAATGACTACCTTTTACTGTTCTATTTCCGAAAACCAAAATTGCGGTTGATAAGAAAAGATGTCATCTGTATAACTTTCTGTAAGTTGAGAACTTATGAGGGGAAAATTGTCTCAGGGTCAACTCCAGAATGGCAAAGACATAGCAGTAAAAAGGTTATCAAGAGGTTCAGGACAAGGGATAGTGGAATTCAAAAATGAAGCTACTCTCAGTACAAAACTCCAACACAGGAATCTCGTTAAAACTCTTGGGATATTGCATTCAACAAGAAGAGAAAATGCTGGTTTATGAATATTTGCCAAAACAGAGGACTAGATAATTTCATCTTCGGTATGCCTTCACCCAAATTTCAACGCTATCTTCCTGTGATAAATCACTTGTGTGTAATTTTAGATGATGATAGCAATCACTACCCTTTTTTTAATGTGCATTGTCCAGATAAAGAAAAAGGCGCATTGCTGGATTGGAGAAAACGCTTTGGGATCATCTTAGGAATTGCTTGGGGAATTGTATATCTTCATGGCGATTCAAGGTAAAAAATCATCCACAGAGATCTTAAATCAAGCAATGTCTTGCTAGATGCAAACATGGCGATTTTGGGATGGCTAGAATTTTCGGGGCAGGACAGGAGGAGGCAAAGACACACAGAGTGGTCGGAACATAGTAAGTGTTTTACGAATATTATGTTTCAGCGTTTGCCAATACCAAAAATACCAACCCAAAGTGGAAAAGGAGAGAGGATTGATCTTAATATGTTTGATTTCAGTGGTTACATGTCACCAGAATACGCAATGCGCGGGTTATTTTCAGAGAAGTCCGATGTATTTAGCTATGACGTTCTATTATTGCTCGAGATAATAAGTGGGAAGAAAAACAACAGTAATTTCAGCGGCAACACCCTGAGTTTAATTGGATATGTAAGTACTTCACTCATGAATTGCAACAACATTAGCGGAAATATTTTCCCTAAGCTGGTTTTTGTTTTTGGGTGTATGATTAACCATTTCAGGTTTGGGAGCTTTGGAAAGAAGGCAATGCAGCGATGGGTGTGTTGTGTGATAACCATGATGAAGTTGGCGGATGCATTCAAATCGGTCTTTTCTGTGTTCAAGAACATGCCACGGATCGACCGACAATGTCCAAAGTGCTTTCGATGCTATGCAATGAAACATCAATCACTTCAGCCTCTCTTAAAAAGCCGGCTTTTGCAATTGAAAGGATCAAATATCACAGGAATCCTCCTCCATTTTCATCATCTGCTAGTTCAGAAGTATCCGTCGATGGCGCAACAATCACTGTAGTCCAAGCTCGCTAAAGTAACACTGCTATTTTTTGCTGACAGGATTAATGTTGTTTGCTAGTGCAAAACAATAACTTTTCTGCTGATTAAGTTTCTTTTGATTGAATTATTTTCAATTAACAGTTTACTCATCAGTGTCACTGTGTCACGGTCAATTAAATTTAGGAATGTCATATAGGTTGGAAATACGAAATGCAATGTCCCTGGATCCACGATTCCATCCTGATACGAAATGCTCAATCACAAAATCAGAACAATTTCAGTAATTTTTTTTTTTAATATTTGGCACAGGAGTTCAGTAAGTAGTAGAGTGAATAAATGAAAATATAAGCTTTCGTTTTGTCGATTTATTGGCTATTCGAAAATCGGCGAATTTCACACAGTATATGTTTGTTGACTTGTGTAGATGAATGCATGGCAGCCGTGATGAATTATTGCCTTTCTTTTCCTTGGGCTAACTCCAATGTAATGTCGTTGGGCATTAATCCATTCATGATTGAGAAGCTAAATTGCACACAAAATATCCAAGACTTCATCTGAAACTAGATCCATGGTCCATTGGATGTAGTTTCTTCTCATTGGATGCTTCAACTACCTGCCACTTTGGACTAATCTGGCTAAAAGTCAAGTCAACCTTTTCTTTTGTTGTTACAGTGAGTAATTAATGACGAGTTGATGACACTATTCAAATCGTTGCAAATAATAACCTCAAAAAAACAGTCTAAATCCATAACAGAGGCCTGTAACAGACAATGCCACCGATACACAGGTACTTATGGCTGACTACCTTCTTATATATCTGTTTTGAACATTGTTCTTGCACTTCTTCCGACGATTCCATCACACAAAATCACTTTTTTAAAGATGGAGATTTGTTAGTATCTAGTAACAACTCTTTTGCGTTGGGTTTCTTTAGCCCTGGAAATTCCCTGAACCGTTATGTTGGTGTTTGGTTCCACAAAATTTCGGAGCAAACTGTGGTTTGGGTAGCGAATCGGGATAACCCCGTCAACGGAACCAACGGAGTTCTGTCCATTGAAAATTCTGGAAACCTTGTCCTTCGTGATCAGACCAGTAGCAGGCTGATATGGTCTACTAATGTTTCGATTTCGGGTTCTTCCCTTCAGCTGATGGAAACAGGGAATTTGGTTCTCTTTGGAGGTGGCCAAAACAGGGGCATCATTTCATGGCAGAGCTTTGATTATCCCACTAATACACTGCTTCCTCACATGAAAGAAGGGGTGAACCTAACATCCGGCTTCCAGTGGAGGCTAACATCATGGAAGTCGAAAGATGATCCCGGGACTGGCAATTTCGGAGACATGATGGATCTTAACGGTTCACCTCAAATCTTTCTGTACAAGAATTCTGAAAAGATATGGCGATCAGGGCCATTTAACGGGATTCAACTTAATGGAATCCCTGATATGACTACGTACTTAATCTTCAGAATGCTTTATGTTGATAATGAAGATGCATTTAGTGTTTCCTACAGTGTTAGTGATCCCACATTTTTTTCGAGACTAACCATAAGCGAATCAGGGACCGTGGAGAGGCTAACATGGCAAGAAAGTCAGCAGAGATGGGTAAGGTTTTGGTCTGCACCAATGGACGACTGCGATCATTATAGACATTGTGGTTCATTTGGTCTTTGTGATCCTTACAGATCAAATGAATTTGAGTGCAAATGCCTTCCCGGTTACGAGCCTAAGGTTGAAAGCGAATGGTACTTGAAGGATGCCATCAATGGCTGCAGAAGAAAGCCTGGAGAACAAATTTGTGGAAACACGAGCGCTGATGTCGGGTTCATAAAACTGACATCTGTTAAGGTTCCAGACACCCGGAATGCGATGGCGAATCGGACGCTGGGACTGAAAGATTGTGAAGATTTGTGCTTAAAGAATTGTTCCTGCACCGCTTATGCTAGTGCTAATGTAAGTGATGGTGGAAGTGGATGCTTGACTTGGTATGGTGATTTGATAGATACGAGACAGTTTTCCAATGCAGGCCAGGATGTTTATATCAGAGTTTCTGCATCTGAATTAGGTAACTGGAAAAACACGGCCTTTTCCTTTCTTGATTCATTGTTATAGTATTTTTTTATTACCTGATCAGAACTACTTATGCTTCAATTATCAAGCTCAACACCTGAGGAATTTAAAGAGATCGGACAGCAAAAAGCTGATAACCATCCTGGTATCATCAGTAGGAGTGGTTCTGTTATTAATTTCCGCAATTTGTTTGATATTGTGGAAGCGCAAAGGTAACGGAAGTTAACTGATTTCGAGATCAGTTGATTTTTTTTTTTTTTTGGTCTGTTAATCTACCTTTTCAGTATACCATTTCTTGTCTGACCTCAGATAAGCTTCAGCTGTAGATGGAAAAACGACGGCTGAATCAACTGGTAGGCAAGAATTGGACTTGCCAACTTTTGAGAAGAACAGTATTGCAGAAGCAACCAACAGTTTTTCGGTCACAAACAAGATTGGGGAAGGTGGTTTTGGACCTGTTTACAAGGTAATCAAAAGATTGTAACTCCATTGATTTGTGTAGCCTCTGGTTGGTGATCGTGAAGTGTTATGTTTACATTGCAGGGTGAACTTTCGACAGGACAAAAGATTGCTATCAAGAGACTATCAATAGATTCCAAGCAAGGACTTGTAGAGTTCAAGAATGAAGTGATCTTGATTTCAAAGCTTCAACACCGAAATCTAGTCATGCTTTTGGGATGCTGCATTGATGGTGAAGAGCGGATGCTAATCTACGAACAAAAGCCTGGACAGCTACATATATGGTTTGCAATCATACTATTTCTTTGTGTATTGGACTCTATTTCAAGAAAAAGAGAAGTTTTCTCCGTTTTTTGGTCTTTGGTTAAATGACTGAAAAAATCTGATGCAGACAAGGAAGCAAGGAAAGCTCTTAACTGGAAGATGCGTTTTAACATTATTACTGGGATTGCTCGAGGACTTCTCTACCTTCATAGAGATTCAAGATTGAGAATAATTCACAGGGACCTAAAAGCGAGCAATATTCTTCTTGACAGTGAGATGAATCCAAAGATTTCGGATTTTGGGACCGCGAGAGCCTTCAAAGAGGAGCAGCTTTCAGACAAAACAACAAGGGTTGTCGGAACACAGTACGCAAACAAACTGTTTGTTTTTCATGACACCATAACTATCATTCACTGGGGTTGGTTTTATATTCTCCTCTATAGCCTCACTACTTTCTTGATTGATTTATTGGTTATATCATCACTATATGCAGTGGTTATATGGCACCAGAATACATTACGAAGGGACTATACTCGATGAAATCTGATGTATTTAGCTTTGGTGTATTGCTCTTGGAGATAGTATCTGGTAAAAGAAACAGAGATTTTCATGAAGATCATGATCTTAACCTCGTAGGACATGTAAGTTTTTAAAGTTTTCAGAATGTTCCATTACAGTTACGTGTTTCTTTCCATCTCGCATGATAACATAGAACACTTTGTTAGAATAATCCAAAGAACAAAATCACATCTTCACATACATTTTCTAGATATAGTAAATATATGTAGAATCTTCTGCCCCAGAAACATTTCAATATTCTACTCAAAACATGTTTCTTAAAACTCATTTCCTGGTAGTCTGCGGTCTACTCCTCCTTAATCCAATAGCTGAAAGTGAGGTATCATTACTTGTCAGGCTTGGAAACTGTGGACTGAAGGGAGTGTAAAATAGACTAGTCGACGAACTAATGGAAGACCAGTTCTCCACATTAGAGGCTGAAAGGTGCATACAAATTGGCCTCTTATGCGTACAACAACACTCGAAAGACAGACCAACCATGTCCAATATCTTGTTCATGTTAGATAGCACCAATTCCGTGCTCCCACAACCAAACCAACCAACTTCTTCTTATACAGTCATGAGTGTTAACAGTGCAGAAAACCCAACGAGCACAAAAGAGTCGACGAATGAGATCACTCTCACTGTAATTGAGGGTCGTTAGCGAAACATTTAATCAGTCCACAGAACAACAAACTTGACCTTTTTTTTGGTTTGTTTGGATGAGGGAGTATATCATCAAACACGGGGTTCCAACTTCTCTTGACTAATGTTACTGCATTTCAAGTATTACTGAATTATTGATAAAGTAAATGAATCTCAGTACAACACTAGTACTTTTCTGTGTTGATGATGTTATATTTGATCAAATGGCTTCAAAATGAGGAACGCGGCATGAGTTCTTCCATATTAGAGAAGGCAATGATTTATACATTGAAAGATTGCATAGACATTGACATAGTGATTGATATACTAATCTCTCATCGGTAATTCAGGCTCATGATAATGAGACAGAGAAACTACACAATGTCTCAATGCAATAGTCCTTTTCTTGTCCTAGTACTCTACTCGTCCTTACTCAACTAATTTTGCTAACGGCCTTCAATTACAGTTAGAGTGATCTCATTTGTTGGACATGTGCTCACGAGAGAGTGTTCTGCATTATTTATACTATGGAAACAGGTTGGATGGTTAGGTTGTGGGAGCACATAATTACTGTTATCTAACATAGACAGGACAGTGGACATGGTTGGTCTGTCTTCCGGACGCCTTTGTACGCACAACAAACCGACTTGTATGCACCTTTCCACCTCGAATGGCGGAGGAGATTGATCTTCCATTATTAGTTCGTCTATCAGTCCATAAATAGCCCCTTCTGTCCAGAGTTTCCAAGCCTGGCAAACAAATTTCTCACATTCACCTGTTGACCGTAAAAAAAAAAAAAAGGTTCATACAGAAATGATCCGGATTAAGTGTCAAAACTTACATGTCCAATGAGGTTAAGATCATTATCTGAATGGCAATCTCTATTTCTCCTGCCCGATACTATCTCTAACAGCAACACGCCAAAACTGTAAACATCTGATTTCATTGAATACAGCCCTTTAGTTATGTATTCTGGTGCCATATAACCGCTGCAAGCAAATGATCATCAGGGCTATAACTTAAGTAATTAATCATTAAAAAAAGTGACTGCAGAGGAGAACAATAAAAGAAAAAGTCATTTTTTTGCTTACTGAGTTCCGACAACCCTTGTTGTTTTATCTGAAAGCTGCTCCTCTTCAAAGGCTCTCGCAGTCCCAAAATCTGAAATCTTTGGATTCATCTCACTGTCAAGAAGAATATTGCTTGCCTTTAGGTCCCTGTGAATTATTCTCAGTCTTGAATCTCTATGAAGGTAAAGAAGTCCTCGAGCAATCCCAGCAATAATGTTGAAGCGCATCGTCCAATTAAGCGCTTTCCTTGTTTTGCTGTCTGCATAAAATTTTAGTCATTTAAACCAAAAAAAAAAAAAAAAGGGAGAAAACTTTTCCTTTTCTTGTAGTAGAATACAAAGAAATTATATGATTGCAAACCATAAATGTATTTGTCCAAGCTTTTGTTCGGCATGTACTCATAAACCAGCATTCGCTCTTCGCCATCAATGCAGCATCCTAAAAGCCTGACTAGATTTCTGTGTTGAAGCTTTGAAATCAAGATCACTTCATTTTTGAACTCCACCAATCCTTGCTTGGAATCTATTGATAGTCTCTTAATTGCAATCTTTTTTCCTGTCGAAAGTTCACCCTGCAATGTGAACGTAACAGTTCCAATCATCAGTGAGAGGTGACGCAAATCAATCTAGTCACAACCTTTTGAATATACCTTATAAACAGGACCAAATCCACCTTCGCCAATCTTGTTTGTGTCCGAAAAACTCTTGGTCGCTTCTACGATATTGGTCATCTCAAATGTTGGCAAGTCTAGTTCTTGCCTACCGGTTGATCCTACCATCGTTTTTCCATCTACAGCTGTAGCTTGTCCAAAATCAGACGAAAACTATACTATTGAAAAAGTTAAAAGAGAGAATGTTATCAATTGCTTAAACTTGTTGTTACCTTTGTGTTTCCACAACATCAACCAAATAGCGCAAATTAATAATAAAACCCCTCCTATGGATGATACTAGGATGATTATCAACTTTATGTGATCTGACCTCTTAGAATGCTGCAGATATTGAGCTGGAGAATTGAAGTAGAGAATGAAATAAATCTCTTTAGGAATGAGAAAATGAACATACTGAATTAAAGATCGGGAAATGTCGTCTTTGTTACCTAATTCGGAAGCTGTAACTTTGATATAAACATCTTGGCCGCCATTAGAAAACTTCCTCACATCAATCAAATCACCATACCAAGTTATGCATCCACTTCCACCATTGCTAATATTAGCACTCGCATAAGCTGTGCAGGAACAATTTCTTAAGCACCAACTTTCGCATTCTTTCAATCCCAGAACCCAATTTACAACTGCATTCCTAGTATCTGGAACCTTGACAGAAGCCAATTTCAGGAACCCAAAATCATTACTAGTACTATTTCCACACAATTGTTCGCCAGGCTTTCTAATGCACCCGTTGATTCCGTTCCTCAATCGCCATTCGCTTTCAACCTTAGGCTCATAACCAGGAAGGCATTCACACTCGAATTCCGTAAACTTAAAGGGATCACAAATACCAAATGAACCACAATGGCTATAATAGTCACAGCCATCCATAGGAGCAGACCAAAATCTTACCCATCTCTTCTGATCTTCTTCCCATGTTAGCCTCTCCACGGTCCCTGAATCGCTAATGGTTATTCTCGAAAAAACTGTTGGATCAAGAGTAATGGTTGACACCGTAACTTCATCATCATTGTCAACAAATTTAATCCTGAAAGTGAATGCTGTTGTCATATCAGGCGTCCCGGTCAGCTGAATCCCGTTCCATGGTGGCCCTGATCGCCACATCCTTTCAGAATTCCTGTACAGAAATATTTGTGGGGAACCATTAAGATCCATCATGTCTCGAAAATCACCAGTGCCCGGATCATCACTTGACTTCCACGATGTTAGTCTCCATCGAAAACCGGAGGTCCGGTTCACCCCATTTTTCATGCCAGGAAGCATAGTATTAGTAGGATAATCAAAGCTCTGCCAAGAAATGATGCCCCGGTTCTGTTCCCCTCCAAACAAAACCAAATTACCTGTTTCCATCAGCTGAAGGAAAGAACCTGAAATCGAACCATTTGTAGACCATATGAGCTGGTTGCTACTGTGATCGCGTAGAACAAGATTTCCAGGATTTTCAATGGAGAGAATCCCAGTGGTGCCCTTGATCGGGTTGTCCCGGTTGGCTACCCATACCACAGTTTGTTCTGAGATTTTGTGGTACCAAATCCCAACATAACGATTTTGGGAACTTCCAGGGCTGAAAAAACCAAAGGCAAAGGAGTTTCCACTAGATACCAATAAATCTCCGTCTTTGAAAAGCTGATTTTGGGTGATGGAATCGTTGGAAGTGCAACAGTAATGATGAAAACAGAGTAGCAAGAAGATGATCATCCAAAAGTACCTGTTTTTCTGTGTCATGATTAGTTGCAGTCTTCTTTCCTGGAATACATGTAATTTGTTGGACTGAATAATTCTAATGTTGTTCAATTGATCAGTGGTCGTGTCTGGAAATCTCAGAAGATGGAAATCGTGTAAAAATTTTGTACGAATTTTTTTTTCACTTAGTAGCTGACCAGTAGTAATACGTGAAGGACCGCAGTGATTTGAATAAAATATGTGTCATTTTTTCACTTTGACAAGAAACTGGGGTGAGTTTGGTTAGGTACTTCTTTTTACATTAAAGGGCCAATGAAAAAGGAGGAGTAAAAGTGTCTTTGATTTTTTGTTGATTGGAGAAATGTCTTTGATTAAAGGAGGGCTGTTATTACATATGGAAATATGGCATGGGAAAACTGTTTTTTCCTTGCATGACATTTGTGTTTGGAACTCAAAAGTCTGGAATTACTATATATGATGATTAGGCAAATTCAAAGGTTGAAGGTGAACATTCAGAAGTCAATAAAGTCTGCCTCTTCTGAAATGTCATACTCCAATTATATTCCAGGCCTACGAACCTTCTTAGTTCCATCCCTCTTCTCTGGTGAACCGAGGCAGAGTGTTTCACCCAACTCGCTCTAATCTGAACTAATCCGGCAACTCTCCGGTCATCTAATCCCAATTCCGATTTGTCTCAGCTCACTTTAAAAAGTCTCCAAGTTTTAAAAAATGTGAAAACAGAAATGTAAACCGTCACTTTCACTGATCAAGTCGCAGGTAATTATTATTTGTTTTGAAAAAATAATAATTAAGTCTCAAAGTTTCAGCCTTTCTAGGAGAAAAATAGCATAGATGTTTCACAAGGTTTTATTTGTATTTATTGACCTAGTGAAATAAGGAGAAATTATTTATTGACCTTATAATGGAGTATTTCACTGGAGTTTCATTCGTCTCTGGAGCTGCTGATATAAGGGTGTGAGTAGCATCATCATCATCATCAGTTGTGACGAGTCCAAAGTAGTATGGCCTGCGACTAGGCCGGCCCAAGTTCGGTGAAAGGTCCAACCGGCCTCTGGAAGCTTCTAGGGAAATATCTTTAGATTTGAAGTCGGCAAGCGCGATACCGTTGCCAATGGGAACCCATTCTGGAACTAAAACTCTCTGCAATATAATTAGGAACTGTTGTTTGATCACTTAGAGAAACTAGGCTTTCCTTGTGGATTATAGCTTCCATAAACCACTCCCAATGTACACTCATACACCTTGTATTTCGCAAGTGGAATATACTCATCCTCCAGGCAGAGATTGCACCCGGACTTGTCTACCTTCATAGAGATTCATGGCTGTGACATGGATACTTTCAGCCTTACAGGCTAACTTTCATTAATTAGAGGTTGAATATGAATATGAATATGTGAGTCTTATTTGGAACTCTTTCTTTGCTGTTGAATGTTTGTAATAGTTAGTTCCTCCTGACTAGTATAAGACGACCGCTATGATTTGAACTTTTCATTTGACGTTTTAGGAGACAAGAAATTTGGGTCTTAGGTTAGGTTTTTCCATCTATCTTCACTGAAAAATGGAAAATGGCTTACTGGGGCATTGAAAAGCAAATTCAATAAAGCATTAAAGCCTGCATGGATTTTTTTTTATTTTTTATTTTATGATTATTTTTTTTGGGTATATTACGCACCCAGTGTCTGAAGTCATTGCTCCGACAAATCTGGATTCAATAAAGTCCGCATGCATGAATTTTCTCTACGTTTTTAGTAATCTTTATCACTTCTCAATTATGGAGATGTCAACAACAGTACGGTTCAAGTCGATTCTGGGGAAAAGAAAGGCAATAATTCATTACATTATGGCTGGCTTTCGCAGCCATTCATCAATTTCTTTAGGGATTTGCAAAGGTCAACAAACATGTACTACCGTAACTCTTCAGACATCCTCGATACAAACTTCAAACATAAATTTTCTACATTTTAAATGATTCCCTCCCAGCTATAATAATGTCGGAACTTCTGATTATGGGATCATGAAACATTGCTCCTTGATCTGAAACCTGATGCCATAAGAAACCTCAACTCCCAATTTTCCTTAGGCCACATCACCTTTTTTAAATAACCATGCCACAGAAAAACAAGGCCTTATGTAGCATTGCTTTCCTGATATTCACAAGTATTATCCAGAGTTGTAGTACTTCAAAAGACACCATTACACAAAACCAATCCTTCAAAGATGGAGATATCTTGGTGTCAAGTGGGAGCACATTTGCGTTCGGTTTCTTCAGCCCTGGAAATTCCCTGAATCGGTATGTTGGGATTTGGTTTAACACAGTGCCTGAACAAACGGTGGTTTGGGTTGCGAATCGGGATAACCCCATCCAGGGCACCAATGGATCTCTATCCATTGAAGCTTCTGGAAATCTTGTTCTCCGTGACCTAAGCAACAACAGGCTGGTATGGTCTACTAACATTTCGGGTTTGGCTGCAGATTCTTATTTTGCTCAGCTCTTGGATTCAGGGAATCTTTTGTTGCTCCAAGGTTTGAATCAAAGTACAAGCAGGGTCAATTTGTGGCAGAGCTTCGATTTTCCTACTAATACTTTGCTCCCTTACATGAAATTGGGGGTGAATCGGACATCCGGTCATCAATGGACCTTAACATCTTGGAAATCTCGAGATGATCCGGGAACAGGGGATTTCCAGGACAAGTTGGAACTAAATAGTTCACCGCCACAATTCTTCCTGTTCCAAAATTCTGAAAAGATATGGCGACATGGGCCATGGAGGGAGCATTATTTGAGTCAGTTACCTGATACGTCTACTGGTTACGTTTTCAGTTCTAGTTATAACGAGAGTGATGCTGAAGTCAGCCTTCTGTACGGACTTCCAGATCCCTCGATTTTATCTAAAGTAACAGTAAATGAATCCGGGTTTCTTGAATTTGCAACATGGCAAGACGATCAGCGTAAGTGGCTTAGATTTGGTTCTTTCCCGAATGACATATGCGACTATTACAGGCAATGTGGTGCATTCAGCGTTTGCGGTCCTTATAAGTCGGGTGAATTTGAATGTCAGTGTCTTCCTGGATATAGCCCTAAATCTGAAAGGGACAAGCACTCAAAGAATGCGACCAACGGCTGCACTAATAAATTGACCGGAGAACAATTTTGTGGAAATATTAGTAGTGTTGATGTTGAATTCATAAAATTGACATCTGTTAAGTTGCCAGATACCGCGAATGCAATTGGTAATCGAACTATGGGACTTGAAGAATGTGCAGATTTGTGTTTGAAAAATTGTTCGTGCACAGCTTATGCAAATGCATATACTGATAATGGTGGAAGTGGCTGCATTACTTGGTATGGTGATTTGATGGATATGAGGCAGCTTTCAAATGCGGGACAGGATGTCTTCTATATCAGAGTTTCTCAGTCTGAATTAGGTAATAAAAGATGGCATTTGTTTCCTCTTTTTTTTTTTTTTTTTTTCTTCCCTTCGTACCCTGCTTATTCTCATAACTAAACAATTTAATTTACATTTCATTTGACCTAATCAGAAGTATCTGCATTTCAATTTTTCCAGCTCAATATCAGAAGAATTCAAAGAGGTCAGAGAGCAAAAGGTTGATAATCATCTTGGTACCGTCCGTAGGAGGGATTCTATTATTGATCTACTCAACTTGGTTGGTCCTGTTGAAGCGCAAAGGTAACCAGAGTTATCCAATTCTATTCCCACATGTAAACACAATTATGGAGAAGTTCAATACTATATGTTAATCTACTTTTCGCATTTAAGGAAAAAAAAATCAGGTGACAGTGAACTCTATAAGATCATTTCAGTAGTTTACACATTTTCTGTAAAATTCCGATCCACTCCTTGATACTTCATGGCTTAGTTTTAACCTTGATTAACTGTTGACTGACTAACAAAACGCCTTTTTTTTTTTTTTTCTTTCCCTAATTTGCCGCTTTTCTGGTTGGGATGTTACCTAAAACTTCAAATGATAATATTAATCTTTGTCTTCGTGAAAACCTTTAACGCTTTGCAAAATGTTACCTTTGCCTTCGACAAATATCCGCACTACAGTATTCCATCAAAAGTGATAGTTCACTTCTAACCTGAGACAGGCTACATCTGCAGATGGACAATCAAAGGCCGACGACTGTACGGATAAGAAGGCATTAGACTTGCCAACTTTCAAGATGAGCAGTATTTCAGCAGCAACCAACAGTTTTTCACTCACAAACAAGATTGGTGAAGGCGGTTTTGGACCTGTTTACAAGGTAATCAAACACTTGTGACCTGATTGATTTTTGTCACCTCTGATTGATTCTTGGAACTATTGTGTTAATATTGCAGGCTGAACTTGCAACAGGACAAATGATTGCCATCAAGAGACTATCAACAGATTCCATGCAAGGACTGGTGGAGTTCAAGAATGAAGTGATCTTGATTTCCAAGCTTCAACACAGGAATCTAGTCAGGCTTTTGGGATGCTGCATTGATGGCCAAGAGAGGATGCTAATCTATGAGTACATGCCAAACAAGAGTCTAGACAACTACATATATGGTTTGCAATTACACTATTAGTGCTTATTATGTTGGACTCACTCCAGGAAAAAGAGAGAACCTTTTGGGGTTTTTCTTTTTTGGGGTGTTTAACTCATTAAAATTTGATGTAGATGGCGAAACAAGGAAAGGGCTTAATTGGAGAATGCGCTTTAACATCATAATTGGGATCGCACGAGGACTGGTCTACCTTCATCGAGATTCAAGGTTGAGAATAATACATAGAGATCTCAAGGCTAGCAATATCCTTTTGGATAAGGAGATGAATCCCAAAATTTCAGATTTTGGGACTGCCAGAGCTTTTAAAGAGCAGCAGCTTCTAGCCAAAACAATCAGGGTTGTCGGTACTCAGTAAGTTAAAAAATGACTAATAGTTTATATTCTCCTCTTTAGTCTCTATACTGTCTTGATTGATTTATCGGTTCCTAGCCCTGATGATCATTTCTGTTCGCAGCGGATATATGGCGCCGGAATACATCACGAGAGGGCTATACTCAATGAAATCTGATGTGTTTAGCTTTGGCGTATTAATCTTGGAGACAGTTTCGGGCAAAAGAAACAGAGATTTTCATCCAGATCAGGATCACAATCTCCTTGGACATGTACGTTTTACCAATTATAAGAATATTTCATGTACTGCAGTTTCATCTTTTTCTTTCCCTCATCATTCATAAAACCTAAATCATTCACTATTGCCTTGCTGGGAATTTTCAAACCCATAAAACAGAAATCATATCTTCCAGCAGTTCAACATCCAATAAAGAACCAGCTAGAGAACATTTTTCTTAAGCAACATTTCAGATGTCATATAAATACAAGTAATCTTTAATAGAAGTACATTTTTTTCAATATATCTGTATTGATGAGAAAACTTGTTTATCAGGCTTGGAATCTCTGGAACGAAGGGAGTGTTGATAGACTAATTGACGAACTAATGGAAGATCAGTTTCCCGCATTAGAGGTGGAAAGGTGCATACAAGTCGGGCTGTTGTGCGTACAAAGACGCCCTGAAGATCGGCCAACCATGACCACTGTACTGAGCATGTTAGACAGCACAAACTCTGTGCTTCCTCAACCTAACCAGCCAGCCTTTTCCAATACACTCATCTGTGTAGAAAATTCACTGAACAAAATGCGCCGGACTAATGGGATCACTCTCACTGTATTGGAGGGCCGCTAACAAAATAACAGGCTACCAAACTCCGTTGCACAGAAACTCTAGAATGTCCAATGACGATACCTGGAATTGTACCGCCGGTGTAGGGTGAAACTCCGACTAGGGTTTTCTGCAAAACAGAGCCTCGGGCGTCTCGCGAGGATAGACACTCCGAAGCTTAAGTCAGAAAATAGGGTTATGTATGTATTGATATGATAGTCAAGATTGCGTACCTTTTAGGTCCCAATCGAGAGTAGACATTGTTTTTCGGGGGTTCCCACTCTCTTTTAGACAATTCCTCGACACTAGATGATTGTCGGCGATCTTGACTACGAAATTGTCTCTTCTGTTCGTGCTCGAGTGCAAACTGTTGAATCGCCTGATAAACTACCGGGTTTGTCCTTTTGAGTGCTTCCCAGAAAGTATCACCGGGGTTTTCGAATGTTCAGCGCGAGAAACTTCTCGATAGGGGGTTTCTTTGCGAGTTCTTTCCTCCCCCTCGTTTGGGGCCGGACGTTTGCCTCTTCTGATCTCGAGGAGATCCAGGGTCCTCCTTGCTTCTTTTTCCTCAATTAACTCCTCCATCTCTTGTTTTGTTGGGTCAGGAAGACCTAACAAGCAACAGCGTTTGTATTCCTCAAGGATATATTTCTTTTTCCTTTGGTTGAGAGAGTTATCATCCTTCAACTTTTTTAGTTCCGCTTCGATCTCGCCAACCGCTGTTTCTGGTATGGATCGGGGTTTTCGCGGTGACGATTCTGATCGGTTGGTTTGACAGGAGTGGTTTCTTTTTTGGTTCGGCGATCATTCCTTTTCCGTTTCTGCCTCCATTGGAAGTGTGCCAGAGTTTTGCCGTCCCCAGGGCTTGTCTGTCTTCCGGTTGACGCAGCACTGGATTGGGGACTGTCAGCTTCCACCATCTTTCTTTCCACCGATCCTGTTCTGGAGGTGCTGGAAGCAGATTGAAAGGCTTCGAAAAAACTTGAGAAAGCTTAGTGACACAAACCCTAGTTTTCGGGTCCCACTGGGTGTGCCACTTGACGATACCTGGAATGTCCAACATGCAACTTATAGCTGAGGCATTAAAGTAGGCGTAGCATAGATAATTTTTTCCTAAGACTCTCTATCTATTCTCATAATAACTCTTATGTTTTTCTTTGGTAAAAGATTGCAAACTAAGAGACAAGAAAAAAGTTTGCATAATCCGCCGACTCGTTCGTCAGCGGACAGGATTCTCGACAGGTTTTTGTCGACGTTGTTGTTGACTTGTTCATCTGGATCAGATACTCCACGAGGCCTTGTCGTTTTCGTCATCGACTTGAATTTGGCTTGAAAAACCGTTCTTTAACTCCAATACCATCATCCTTGATACCAACCTTAATATGATACCATTCTTCCCCATGTGATCAAAATCAATATAATGATTATCATAGTTAGATATGACACATAATAGCCCATTAATGATCACATCAACATGGTTTAATTTTAGTTTGTCTTTGGAACATTAATTTTCAAATGTTCTTGTTTCGGTTGAAAAATGTTACATATATATAAATGATTTGAAATATAAAAGAATGTATTCAGAATGTAGAAAAAAAAATACCCTATCCGTTCCAAAATTTTTGTTCAGTTTAGGTTTTCAGTTTTAATACAAATTAAAAATTAGATAATAATTTCGAGACAGAGGGAGTATTAAATAAAAATTACGAAAAGAACACAAAACGTATGAATGGAAAAATTTGTCTAACTTTGCAGTATTGATTATTGAGTATTAGTGTTGCTTTGTCATTGTAAGGAAAAAAGCTGTTTCTTCATTCCCTACTTCACGAGAGAACCAAAAGACTAGAAAGTAGAAACGGTTGTTTTGACTTTTGAGGGACAAATAAATGAAGGCCCCTCAGGAAAAGCTTTATGACACTTACCAATATAGGTTTATGGATTTCAAGAGGTAAGACCAATGTGTCTGGACAAACAAAATAATGCTGATTGGGAAACGAAATTTCATAATTCATTCATCTTGGCAGTCATGGGAAAATGAGAAGTGGCATGAGCATGACTCTCAATAAGAGAGGAAATTATGGAACCATAGTGTAAAATGAGATGTGATCAGTCTGTTGTCATTAATGTAGAAGGTCAACAAACAGAAAGCAACTCCAATGATCCTGAAGTTTCTGTAATTGATTTCGTTCACGCCCATTCCTAAACTAATGATTACATGTCGGTAGACATTGTACTCTGATCTTAGACCTGGTTTCCATCAAAAGATGGACATGTCTTGGTGTCAAGTGGCAACGCCCTTGCCTTTGGTTTCTTCAGCCCCGGAAAATCCCTGAATCGGTATGTTGGGATTTGGTTAACATGCCTGAACAAACGGTAGTTTGGGTTGCGAATCGGGATAACCCCATCCACGGCACCAATGGATCTCTATCCATTGAAGCTACTGGAAATCTTGTCCTCCGTGATGTTAGCGCGCCCACAGGCTGGTATGGTGAACTAACCTTTCAGGTTTGGCGGCTGATTCTTATTTTGTCTTGATGTCAAGCGGTGCATTTACTCCAAGTGTCTAAATTGAACATTGTCCGGTCAAATAATCCAACGGGGACATCTCCTCTTTTTCATTTTCTGTTTGTTTTTTCTGTATGAAATTAGCTATCAGAATCATACATGCATGCATGCATACAACCAATTCTATAAAATTTCCGCAGCTAGGCTATATGGTTGCCTAGCTAATACGACCTCCTCATCATATAATTACTTAATTTAATATGTAACCGTAGACATGAATGATGTAGAAACAGAGAGTTTTTATTCGTATTCGACGTCGTCAATCTTGATCTTCAATCCACCAACAGTAGCTTTTCCAGCTTTCGGAACCAAAGTCACCGCCACAGCATCATCTTCTTCGGAATCCAGGTCTTCCAAAATCTCAGTCAGCGCCAATTTCAAATTAGTCTTAATCTTGTTGTTATGATTGTTATCATCATCATCATCATGATTATTATTAGTCTTGGGACGGGGAACATTCCAGAAACTCCCAGCATATTCAGTGTTGGCCGGGGTACTCTTAAGATCATCCTCGTCATTGATAAAAACATCAAACTTCACAAATTCAGCACGTTCCACCACAATCTTTTCAATCACCAAAATCTCGTCTTTCTCGTCTTTCTCCTTCTTGGACCGTTTCTTGTTACTAGGCCTTTTCACCATGATTTTGACTGTCGTTTTCTCAAGCGACAATGGAAATATATCTCCGGTTTCATGACTCGAAAACCCCAACTTCTTTTTCAGCATCCTAGTGGCCTTGGAAATCCGGGGCTTGGGACGATAATTCAGCCATTGAATCTCCGTATCCTGGTATTTGTACCCGAGTTTGGTTGTATCCAAACAATCTCGAACCCGGACACGAACCATTTGTGCATTCTCGTCATAGAAGAGAAATGATGCGTTTAGCCAATCCGCGTCGGTTATATCCCGTCTCTTTCCACCCAATGTTTTCCATATGGACCATAGTCGATCCAGGTTGGAATGATGAGCGTAGAAAATCGGATCCCTGGCGGTAGAATAAAAAGCTCCCATGTCTTCTACATAAGGCTGAGTTCTGTCTCCAGTCCACAGGTGAACCGGGCTGTGAGGGATGTTTTCTATGGATCCGGCTCCCGGATCCGGTTCATCGCCCGCCCGGTAAGCGCCCCCGAAAAACAAAGGCGGTGTCTTTGCATTCGCAACTATTTGCCTGTACATGATAGTTAAATTCTGTGACAATTGTTTGCTGCCGGAGAGGTTCGAATCGTTACCGTCGAAATCCAGGTCCATCATTGTTGGAGGTTGATGAGCTGCATCCCGGAGCGGGTCGTAAAGTGAGGAATTCGGATCAGCATAAAATGCTGGCATAACCATTCCATCTCGAACGTCATAGTTCCAGAACGGCAAGGCGAAATTCGGGTCATCGATTAATTTCCCGCAGATCCGTTCAAAGAAGTATACGTAGAAGCGGTGAAACGGCAGGAAAAGCCATGAGAAATGGACCTGAAGTTCGCGGTTCGGGAACCCGGCTTGATCATAAGCGGCATCGCAATAAGCACAATGAACATTAGCCTGGTTTTGAAAACTCCTCGGATCGGTTTCGGGCAAAGCTTTCATAAGTTGTACGGCCCTATTGTACTTCGCGATGTAGTTTCCATCAACCAAATGGGCTGCCGGACGGACACGAATCGTCGAGAACGAAGGAGGTTCGAAGTCGACGATTTTCGCCGGAACTCGAGGGCAACAGTCGGGTGGTGGGACGCCTACGGGTATTTCCGCAGGGCCGCAGTTGGAAACATCAGGGCCTTGAATTGGAGCTGCAAACGAATGACTGGAGGATGCACCGTAAAGCCCTCCTAAACCAATCAGCACATTTCTCCTGGATGGGTTTTGTTGTTCGTTGTTATCTTTGGCTTGGCAAGCTATCTTGAAACCATGGTAATTGTTACATTTTTTGGAATTGAGAAGCCGAGAAATTCCAGAAAAGGATCGGAAAGATGTGGAGGAACTGGATATAGTGGCATTGGCAGCGGGTGAAGAAGTGGTCCTAGGAAAGTGAATTGAGAGGTTAGCCATGGTTTCTTCACTTTCAGGTGTAATAATGTAATCATATGGGATGGCAGCCTTTATATATATACTACTATGAGTTTAAGACCAAGGGGTTTCTTTTTCATGTTTCAACAATATTTAGAGGTGTTACTGAAAGAGTACAAACACTCTGGAAAAGAAGAATGGCTCATTTTTATTCTTTTAGGTAGATTACATATTGGATAGCTAAAATTAGTGTCCGATTAATTTGAATTGAGTTAAGTAAGTTTTTCGTATAGATGAAATTCTCCGGGACTCATTGCAAACAAAGCGACGGTTACGATTAATGTGATTGATGTCTTATAAATTTTATGCCTTTTTCTTTGTATATAAAAATGCAATTGATGTTTTTATTTTGTTTGTATCATATCCGTTCTTCAAAGTGACTTTACTTTTGATAAGTTCATGCCATATTAACAATGGAAAAAGGAGTAATGAAAGAAACTGAAAAAAACCCATTTGTTGGTAGAGTGAACAATGTTTTCACGGTAATTTTTCATGGTTTGGTCTACTCGTTGGGCTCAAACTTTCTACTTTTTAAACATCTTTTCCTAAAATCTGTTCTTTGAGAAAAGAAGTCAAGTAAGTACGAAATAGGAACATTAGCAAAAATGTTTAGAAGGGAAGTTCCGCAATTCTGAATTAAGTACCCCACTCATAATTTTACTTTAAATATATAATGTACACATTTGACATGAAATGGAGTTTCGAGTTTCCAGAAAAAAAGAATTTGGACCAGAAGTTGGAGGTTTGGTAATTGTCTATGGATTTGACTTTTGTCAATTACACGGACCAGTAGATCATAATTGTAGATTGATGTGATAATGTCCTTTTCTTCATAAAAGTAGTTAAAACCTAAATGTCAAACGAATACATTTCCAGAGAGTGAGACATCCAAATGGGCGAACTACATTGCCTGTATTGTAATTACTAATCAGCTTTCCTCTGGGAAAGGGTTGCCAACTAAGACATGAAAAAAGTCGGCACGGTTCAATATGATGTATTTTCATCTATTACACACAAAGACAGTCAAGTACTAAATGATTATCGATAATCTTATAAATCCAATTGTTAAGTTTGCAATAGAAAAATGTACATGCTCTTACAAGTCAGGAAATCACAAATTTTAGGAATCTGACCACCACTTTAGGCTAAAAAAGACAATTCACCCCCTATATTTACAAAGTAAAAAGCATTGTTTTAGCGAGCTTGGACTACAGTAATGGTTGCAGCATCAACAGATGCTTCTAAACTTGCAGATGATGAATATGGGAGGTTATTGATATGGACATTAACCTTTTTAATAACAAAGGCAGGGTCCTTTGGAGTGGCTGAAGGAATTGAGGTTTCGAAACTTAGCATGGCTAGCACTTCAGACATGGTTGGCCTATCCATAGCACGTTCTTGAACGCACAGAAGTCCGATCTCAATGCATCTTAAGACTTCATCGCGGCAATACAACTGATCACCCATTGCTGGGTCGACTATATCCAGGACTGTACCTTCTTTCCAGAGCTCCCAAACCTGATATGGTTAACCATTTTGCACTAAAGTTAGTCCAGCGCGCCTTCTTGTTGTAATGCCAGCTTATCACATACTATTAGGAAACCACAGCAGAAGTAAACTTACATATCCAATTAAGTTCAGAGTGTCATCACCAAAGTAACTGCTGTTTTTCTTGCCAGTAATGATCTCTAGCATGAGGACCCCATAGCTAAATACATCGGATTTTTCTGAAAAGCGACCGTGCATTGCATATTCTGGTGACATGTAGCCACTGCAAATAGGTGATAAGATGAATTGAGTAGTCTTTTTATAACTTTGTATCATCTCCATGATCAAGTACAGATAAGTAGGAAAACTAAATATTGACAAGACTTACTAGGTTCCCACAACCCTGTGTGTCTTTGCCTCCATTTGGCCACATCCAAAAATTCTAGCCATCCCAAAATCCGATATCTTTGGTTCCATATTTGCATCTAGTAACACGTTGCTTGCTTTCAGATCTCTGTGGATGATTTTTAGTCGTGAGTCATGATGAAGATATACGATTCCTCGAGCAATGCCTAAGATTATCTCAAAGCGTTTCCTCCAATCTAGCAGTACTCCTTTTTCTTTACCTGAATTGAATGGAAGATTGTTAGTAATTAATCATTGAGTTTATCATTTTCGAGACAGTAATATACCCAAAACAAGTTAACTGAGATGTACCAAATATGAAATTGTCTAGCCCTTTGTTCGGCAAGTATTCATATACCAACATTTTCTCCTCTTGTTCAATGCAATATCCGACAAGCCTGACAAGATTCCTATGTTGCAGTCTTGCAATCAGCGTGACTTCATTTGTGAATTCCTCTATACCTTGACCTGAACTTTTACACAATCTTTTTATGGCTATTTCTCTACCATTATGGAGCCGACCCTGATTCAAATTCAACAAACTAGTTAGCATTTACTTTTCCGAAAATATAAGAGAAAATCACAACAATCTTTTAAACTTATCTGATGGAAAAAAAGCAATTGATTAAGCTAGACAATGAATCACCTTATAAACTGATCCGAAACCACCTTCTCCAAGTTTGTTTGCGAGAGCAAAAGAATCGGTGGCTGAAATTATGGTTCTGAGATCATACATAGGTAAATCTCTGTTACCACCTATCTCTTTTGTCCTTGAAGAGCCTCCACGAGATAGAACTGATAATGGACTAAGGTTAAACCAAAGCAACTTTCTGGTGCCATATCTTCTACCTGACCTTGTTCATAAATTAGAGAATTGCATCACTATCATTAAGCTGTAAGTGAACTGATTATTCTTATACAAGAAGTAAATGCAGGAGATCAACATCGAAAGTTTGGCTACTGTAAGTTAAGTTTTCTCGTAAAACAAAAATGAGTAGAAGGATTTTAATTGCATTACCTTTCTGTTGCCTTATTACCAAACAAAGTACTGAAACAAGTAGTAAAAGCACTGATATGGATGATACAAGGATGATTATTCGCTTTTTGCGATTACGGCCCTTTAAACTCTTCAAATATTGAGCTGAAAAAGGTAGAAAACAACCAGTAAATCTTCAGCTTAGTGTAAATCGTAGATGAAAATGAAAGTCCAGTCACTTTCAACATAATAAATTGCTGCTTGGATTTCTTGCTTCATTAATGAAAACTGACTCCTCTAGATATAAAATTATCAAAATTTTTATACCTTTCAACTTAAGACCCTTTTACAGTGCTGAAGAAAGAATATTTTGTGCGGGGATGAATACAGAAATTTGAAGAAAGAACAACTTACCTAATTCTGAAGCTGTAACCTTGACATAAACATCCTGGCCGCCAGTTGGAAACTTCCTCATGTCTATCAGCTCACCGTACCAAGTGATGCAGCCACTTCCACCATTGCTAATATCAGCACTTGTATAAGCTGTGCATGAACAATTCTTTAAGCATAAATCTTCGCATTCTTTCAATCCCAACATCTTATTTACGAGAGCATTACTAGTGTCTGGAACCTTTACTGATGTGAATTTTATGAAACCGAAATCAGCAGTACTATTTCCACAAGTTTGTTCTCCAGGTTTTCTGATGCAGCCATTGATACCATTCCTCAAGTACCATTCACTTTGGACCTTAGGCTCGTATCCTGGGAGGCATTCACACACGAATCCAGCCAATATATTTGGATTGCAGAGTCCAAACGCACCACAATGGCTGTAATAATCGCACTGGTCCTTTGGGACAAACCAAAACCTTACCCAGCTACGCTGATCTTGTTGCCATGTTAGCCTTTCTGAGAAACCAACTTCGCTTAATGTTAACCTGGAAAAGATTGTGGGATCAAGAATGGTATAGGAAAAGCTGATTTCATCAGCATTCTCAACATGACTAGAATTGAAAATGTAATTTCGAGGCATGTCAGTAATTCCACTCAAAGAAATCCCATTCCATGGCCCTGAACGCCATATCTTTTGGGATTTCTGGTACAGAAAAAGTTGAGGCGAACCTTTAAGTTCCATCAAGTACCGAAAATCACCCGTGCCCGGATCATCTTTAGACTTCCAAGATGTTAGGCCCCAAACCAAACCTGATGTCAGGTTAACCCCTTCCTTCATGTGAGGAAGGAAAGTATTGGAAGGATAATCGAAGCTCTGCCATGAAACAACTCTGGCGGTTCCTATACCTTCAAACAACACCAAATTCCCTGTGTCCATGAGCTGAACAAAATAAGAACCGGGCGTTGACTTTCCCGAAACATTCGTTGACCACAGAACAGTGTTGCTGATCCCGTCACGCAGAACAAGATTTCCAGAATTTTCGACGGAAAGAACTCCGTTAGTACCATTTATTGGGTCATCCCGGTTCGCAACCCAAACCACAGTTTGTTCAGAGACTCTGTTGTACCAAATACCAACATAACGACGATTCAGGGATTTTCCAGGGCTGAAGAAACCAAAGACAAAGTTGTTTCCACTTGATACTAATGTGTCTCCATCTTTGAAAGGTTGGTTTTGTGTGATTGTGTCGTTGGAACTACAATGATTGAAGAGAGTTAAAACGATCGTAATCAATAGGCACCGGTTTTTCTTCGGCATGGTTTCTTAGAGAAGTTAATTTTCAAAAAAAATGCAGCTTTTTTGAATATCTGAGGCGAACCATCTTCATATAATCCAGTCCTGTCGTTGTTAGCATCATCATCACACGTTTTCTTGAACAACAAAACAAAATATTGGTACTTTCGTTGAAAATATTGGATCTTGGAATTTTTGCGGAATTTTTTAGTACACGATAGTTGATTTCAGTACAAGAAATGGCAACTATTAGTTGACTTACTCTGTTTATATAACTCATCCCTGTAAGAAAACTGGTGCTTGTGGTAGGTCGGGGTTTTCTTTTTCCGTTTTTTTGGTTAATTTCAGATAATGGCTAACAAAGTGAGAATTATCTAGACTTTTTGATTTGAAGCAGGAAGTAAACGGTAAAGATGGAGACTCTTTCGGAGTGCCATATTCAAAGTCATCCAAGTTTGACCTTCATTAATTGGCAAAAGAAAGAATTTTTTTCATCTTTGACAGTAATTATTTTTGGTCCCCTGATTACTCATACCCCTGTACCAGATGTTTACTTTCTGGATTGATTCAGAAAGTGCGCTACCAAATTGGCTCTTTTAATTTGTTCAACACGATTTTCGCCATGTATAAACTCAATTCTCCTAAATAGAAAGGTTGAGAGGCCTCATACATTAGTCCACCTCGCTGAGTGGTAAATATTTGATGCCTGTTTGCATAATACCTGAAGTGCTCAACTGCAGTACCTTTATCTTCCTCGAAATAATGATATTGGCGGTGTTTTGCCTTGTATTTTTGTTTCTTGATGGGTCTAACACACATAAAATGTTTTAATCCTAAGATCTATAATAAACATAAATGGAACAAATCAATCATATTTCAATTGCATTGTGGTGAGAGATTCGGTTCAAATAACCAAACTACATAGAACGTGAAGTATTGCTTAGCGAGCTTGGATTTCAGTATTGGTAACATCATTCGCAGATGCTTCTAAACTAGAAAATGGTGAACAGGGAGGAGTACTACTATAATAATTGACCTTTTCAAAGACGAAAGCAGGTTTTTTCGGAGAGGCTGAAGCGATTGATGTTTCGTTGCATAGCATTGAAAGCACTTTAGACATTGTTGGTCTGTCATTGGCATGATCCTGAACGCACAAAAGTCCAATCTGAATGCATCTCGCAACCTCATCAGGCTTACATGAATCAACCATTGCTGGATCCACTGAATCCAGGGCCTTGCCTTCTTTCCAGAGCCCCCAAACCTGAAAAGGTTGAATGAATGGATTCATTTCAACAGGGAAAAATTATGTGTTGTGATCCATACAATACAAACCTCAGCATCAATGATAGACTTAAACTCATAGCAGAGATGTACTTACATATCCAGCTAAGCTCAAAGTGGTGCCATTGAAATAATTGCTACAACATTTCTTTCCGCTAATAATCTCCAGCAACAGGATACCGTAGCTAAATACATCCAACTTTTCTGAGAAGAGCCCTTGCATTGCATATTCTGGTGACATATATCCACTGGAAATCGGTATATATATGAGTAAAGTTACATTCCAATTTATAGTTAGGAATAATGATTTTTCAGGTTCAAGTATCATTAAATTTGAAAACAAAATATGATGCAACTTACTATGTTCCAACTACCCTGCGTGTTTTGGCCTCTAATTGGTCTGCTCCAAAAATTCTGGCCATCCCGAAATCTGATATTTTTGGTTCCATACTGGAATCCAGCAAGACATTGCTAGCTTTCAAGTCTCTGTGGATGATTCTTAGTCGTGAGTCACGGTGAAGATACACCATTCCCCGAGCAATGCCCAAAATGATCTCAAAGCGTTTAGTCCAATCCAGCAAAGCTCTTTTTCCTTCATCTGGAATTCACATATTGAAAAGGAATGTGACCGTTGAATACAGGTTCTTAAGGTTTTCATATTGTGAAATAGACAGTACTAATTGCTCATATGATGTATAATAGCCAAACAAATTTTAGTAAAGAATACCAAAGATGAAGTTATCTAGTCCTTTGTTCGGCAAGTATTCATACACCAACATTTTCTCCTCTTGCTGGATGCAACATCCCAAAAGTTTAACAAGATTCCTGTGCTGCAGTCTCGCGATCAGGGTAGTTTCATTCTTGAATTCTTCTATCCCTTGTCCTGAACTTCGTGATAACCTTTTCACCGCTATTTCTCTGCCATTTTGGAGCTGGCCCTGGATCAGATTCCACCTGTCAGTAACTTTTCAACATTTTGCTGAAACATTCAAATGGAATCTCTAGGAATCAACTACTCTATCAGTTTGCAAAAATATAACAATGGCTGGAAAGCCTCACATGTTAAATAGTCGCAAAGCAAGTGCAGAAAAATGATCAACCTAAGGCAACTATATTATCACCTTAAAAACTGAGCCAAAACCACTTTCTCCAAGTTTATTTGTGAGAGAAAAAGCATCAGTTGCAAAAACTATGGTTCTTAGATCAAACACAGGTATCTCTCCTTTTTCATCCACCATCTCTTTCCTTGGAGTGACTCCATATGATGACACTGGATCAAATGTAAAGCTAGGAGACTTCCTGACTTTCCCTCTTTGACCTGCATTTAGTGCACAGAGCTGATTAGTCCATGAACTCATCCTGGAGTGAATAAAATTGGAAGGAAAAAACACGACATAACCGAAACGATCTTCCAATATAACTTAATCTTGAAACAAAGTTTTTTCTCTTAAAAGTGCAAAAGTGTTGTAAAATATACCAGGTTAATGAAAAATCAGTCTAGAAAAAGAAAAGTGAGGAAAAGTCGGTTAAGCAAACTTTGTTCACCTTTGAGCTTCCACATTATCAACCAAATTGCAAAACCAAATAATAACACCCCTGCTGTTGATGGTACCAAGATGATTATCAACATTTTGCTACCCGACCAGTTTGAATTCTTCAGATTTTGAGCTGGGAAAGTGGAGCAGATATTACTAGTTGCTAGTAGCTCAATTATAGTAAAGAAAAGGAATGAGAAAAAAATGAGCATAATGAATTAAGGAAATGACATCTTACTGAATTCAGAAGCTCTAACTTTCACATAAACTTCCTGGCCACCATTAGAAAACCGCCTCATATCTCTCAAGTCACCGTGCCAAGTGATGCAGCCACTTCCACCATTGCTGGTATTAGCACTTGCATAAGCTGAGCATGAACAATTGCTCGAGCATAATTCTTCACATTCTTCCAGTCCCAAAATATTATTCACAGCTGCATTTCTAATGTCTGGGACCTTGACCGATGTCAATTTTATGAACTTGACATCAGCATTACTATTTCCACATATTTGTTCTCCGTACTTTCTTGTGCACCCACTCTTGCCATCCCTCAAGTTCCATTGACTTCTATCCTTAGGCTCATACCCAGGGAGGCATTGACACACAAATTCACCGAAGTTATAGGGGTCACAAATGCCGAAAGAACCACAAAGGCTGTAATAGTCGCATTGATCCCTCAGAGCTGGGTCATTATTCCCCCTCGAAAACTCAGAGGCAGCAACCCTAATGTAAATTGTGCCGATTTCATCATTTCCAGACACTTCTCGGAGATCCAAGAGCTTCTCATTCCAAATGGAGCATCCATTGCTATCATAAGCATAAGCAGTACAAGAGCAATCATTTAAACAGCTAGATTCACATTCGGCCGAACTCCCAACCTTTACAGACTGAGGGTTTTGTGACCAACGCATATTTGGGTATGCCAGAAACTTATCTTTCTGGCCATCTAGACTGCCGCCTTTTTCACATTGCAACTTCGTTTTCCTCTCACAGCCCCCAGAAAAATCAATCAGATTCCAATCTGCATTCGATTTGTGCTCAAAACCAGACAAGCAGTTGCAATGGTGCAAATAATGCTCACTGCAAATGCTGAATTCTCCACAAAATGCATACACTTGACACTGTTGTCTAGGTTGGTACCAAACCAAACTCCATTTCTTGGAATTATTCGACCACAAAAGCTGCTTAAGATGCCCTGACACATCGACTACAAACCTAGAAATGATTGCTGAACTGTAGAGGCTGTATGTGAAGTAAGACTCATTCTCATTGTTTATAAAACTATAATTATAAATATAATTAAACCTCATTCAGGTACATAAGTAAAGTGTTTCCTTTGCTCATTCCAAGGTCCGCTAACCCAATACTGTTGGGACCTATTCCAGGTCATTACATACTGATTAGCAATAGGATCAAGTTCATAGGAAAAAAGCCCAGGTGCTGGATCTTCAGAATTTTTCCATGAAGTTAAAATCTGCCGTTTCTTAGTTACTTTGTTATATGCAATTTTGTCACCAGGTAACCACGTATCAGTTGGGTTATCGAAACTTTGCCAAATTGGCGGAATATTTGAACCTGATTTCAACAATTCCGTTAAAACAAAATTGCCATCATCCCCAAGAACCGCAACCACAGGACCTGAACTTGTGAAACTCACATTTGTAGACCAAATGGGCTTCTTGGATTCATCCAATATCACTAAATTAGTACCCTGAATAGTAAGGGATGAAGAATACTTGTCTTTTACTGGGGTAACCCTGTTTGCTACCCAAACTACGGTTTGCTCACTAACTTTCTTGTACCATATTCCTATGTAGAATTTGGAGGAATTCTTCTTACCTGGTGCGAAGAATCCGAGTTCAAAGTTGCCGTCTTTGGAGATAAGCGTCTGGTCACCTGAAAGGGCTTGATGACCAGAAATGGAGTCTTCTCCATAAGATAAATGAGACTCTAAAACCATGCCAAAACAGAAGAAAGCGAGAATCAATTTGATGCTTGCCTTTTGGTTCTTCATGGGTTACATTAACAACAGAAATGAGAAAAAAGAGAAGGAAAATGGAGTTTGATCGCTACGGCCATCTCGAGAATGGTGGTTATAGAGGAACAACCGGGGTGTGTAATGTGAAAGCGCCTGAGAGGAGACCTTGATCGTGTGGGCTGAAGTCTTTTTCAAGTCAACCATGATTGTTGTTCACGTTACCTCAAAAAACCGTTACAATTTCCAATTCTGCATTCTGTGCCCTCCCTAAGAGGGAACCAAATCCCATAAATGAAAAGAACAAAAAATCAGCGTAACAGGTTCCTGGCCATAGGGCATAAAGGTCACGAAATCAAGTAACACTAGGCACCTAAAACATAAAAAATAAAATTTAAAATATAATAATTTAAAATATTATTATAAAATTTAAAATTTACATTATTTTTAAAAATTTACTTTTTCTATTTATCATTTATTCTGGATACAATATAAATATTAATTACGTTTTATTTTAACCTCGTATCACTCTAAAATTTTACCGCGCTACCGTAACTAATTCAAAATTCAACTTTTTGTTTAAAAAGAAAAAGCAAACTAAATTTTTCATCTGAATTTTCACCTACCAATTTTTATTCGGCCAAGTAAAAAATCCAGCGGGCCCAAAGGGAAGAAAATTGAGAGGGCGAAAATCTGGACAAAAATTGATTTATTTTAATTTTTAATTTGAATTGGAGATATAATTTAAAATGTGATTTTAGTAAAAATTTAAAAATTTCTTGGGATAGAAATTCAAATAAAATAATATTATTTTTACACCACCACCTCTACACATCCGCCTCTGCTGCTTGCTGCCGGACCACCTACTGCCGCCGGACCATTTGGTGCCGACCGACGACGGCAGGAGGTGGTCCGGCGGCGGGAAGCGGCGAAGGAGGTGTGGAGGTAGTGGTGTAAAAATAATATTATTTTATTTAAATTTCTAGCCCAAGAACTTTTTGAATTTTCACTAAAATCACATTTTAAATTATATCTTCAATTCAAAGCAATAACTAAGCCAAAAACTTAAATAAACTATTTCTTATCCAGATTTTCACCCCACAATTTTCTTGCATTTTTTTTTAAAAAAAGTTTGAATTTTTAATTAATTATTATAGTGCGGCAAAATGTTAGAAATAATTCAAGATTTATTGTAGCGGTCAAAGTAAAAAATCTTGGTTTTGCTTTTTTTTTTTTAATTTAAATTTTGAATTATTTACTGTGACTCGGTAAATTTTTAAAGTTACAGTGGGATGGGGTTAAGAGTGCAACATAATTAACATTTACTTTAGTAAAGAAAAAAATGACTTTAAAAATAATTTAAATTTTAAAATAATATTTTAAATTAATAAATAATATTTTAATAATGAAATAATAAATGTGAATTTTTATAATCTTACTATATATTAAGGGAATTTTTCTCACAAGACACATGTCGCAATATTAGATCACTACTAATTTTCAAAAACACGTGTTCAGTTTTCATTCGTTCAGAAACTTAAGTAGTCCATGTGTCAACATTTTATTGGCTTATTATTTTTGAGTGAACCTCAAAACAAGTCATCAACCTTTAATATATTTTCACTCTAGGTCATCAATTAAATTTATTTGTAACACAGGTTACCTTACTAAAGTTTTAATCTATTTCAGATCATTCTGCTAATTTTGGTCGTTAAATAGTGACGGAAATCCATTTTTCACATGCTTTTGGGTTCAGGGGTATTTTTGCCATTTTATTATTTTATTTGTATTTTTTAATCTTTTAAAAAAATTTTTTACAATTCTTCTTCTTATACTTCCTAACTTGTATACACTGGTAGTATAATTCTAAATTTAAAAAATTTATTTTCCTTTTGTATTTTAACTTCTAGATTATAAAATTTTTTTTTAAAAAAATGAGAAATGAAGAAGAAAAATTCGAGTTAAAGTAAATATGAAAATAAATAATTTACCATTTTTTAAAAAATAAAAATTAAAATAATTAGCTAAGACAAGTTGTTTTTTCTAGATTATTTAATTTTTTTCAACTCGATTGAATTATTTAATTATTAATTTTCACGTTTCTTATTCCTTTTTTTAATAATCTACAAGTTAATATACAAATTATTTTTTATTTGTATCTTAACTTCTAGATTACAAAAAAAGGAATAAGAAACGTGAAAATTAATAATTAAATAATTCAATCGAGTTGAAAAAAATTAAATAACCTAGAAGAAATAACTTGTCTTAGCTAATTCTTTTAGTTTTTCTTTTTGTTTAAAATGTTAAATTATTAATTTTCATATTTACTTTAACTCGAATTTTTCTTCTTCATTTCTTAATTTTTTTTTAAAAAAAGATTTTTATAATCTAGAAGTTAAAATACAAAAGGAAAATAAATTTTTAAAATTTAGAATTGTACTACCAGTGTATACAAGTTAGGAAGTATAAGAAGAAGAATTGTTAAAAAAACATTTAAAAGATTTAAAAAATTTAAAAAATAATAATAAAATGACAAAAATACCCCTGAACCCAAAAGCATGTGAAAAATGGATTTTCGTCACTATTTAACGGTCAAAATTAACAAAATGATCTGAAATGGATTAAAACTTTAGTAAGGTAATCTGTGCTACAAATAAATTTAATTGATGATCTAGAGTGAAAATATATTAAAGATTGATGACTTGTTTTGAGGTTCACTCTTTTACTAATCTTTTACTACACCTCATAACTGTAATCTTCCATAGTAAAATATTTATGAGATTTTAACATATCAGTCCACGCCTTCATCTTTATCTTCATCATCATCATCAAACCCTAATTCCCCCAGCGCCACCACCATGCCTAATTCTATCCACCATGCCATATTCTGAACCAAAGCAGCCAGCATCCGAAGTTATAAAATTTATTTTGCTGTCGTATTCTACTTTTTTTTTTTTCAGAGACGGATCCTTCATTCCTTTGGCCGGCCAATTCCAGATCGACAAATCTTAAATACATCAAACAGGAAATACTCCAATTTCATGACTCCGATGGCTTAAAGATGAAGATTGACATCGACTTTATTTGAACGGAATTAAAAGTAATTCGTTGGCTGAAAGTTGTAATATGAACTGAGGCCCACAATTTTATGATGAACGAAAGCCAGCTCCTGCAATTTTGATGCCCCCTCATGTGATGATCGGAAGCTAGAGTTTTCTGATGAATAGAGGCCAATTTGCCGAGAACACTGGGGCCAGAGATTTCTGATAAACATTGGCCAATTAGCTTAGACCACTGGAGTTTTTTGAATTCTAATTATGTCATCTATTTAATTATAAATAATCCAATTCTAATTGGAAAGCACAATTGGCCGCGAGTTTGAGGTTATCTATAGTAGTTAATTAAAGCAACAAACAAAAAGAACATGTGTCAGCTCCATGTCGAAAATTTTCCTGCCAAACAGTATTTTCAGTACAAAATGATTTCTGACACGTGGCACACTCAATGGGCAGAAAAAAAAGGCCTTCTAAAAAAACTCACTTATTAAACCAAAAATAAAATAATCAGTTAAAATTTTAAAAGAGATAATAATCCGTCCCTAAAATTTAAGAGTTAAACGTGTTTCAGTGTTATTTATGGACCCTGAATCAGGATAATGTTTGTTAAATAAAATCCCTAATTTCTTGCTACTCTCAAAATCAGTACATGTTAATCTTAAGCAATCAATCACAATCCCATTTTTCAATTTCGAACACACGGTTTGAAATCAATTATGAATTCATCGCTTCTTATTTTCTTTTTCTCCTCCGCCGCTTCATCATTGAAAATCTTTTTGATTTTGTGTAGGATGGTCAGCTCATCATCAAGGATGTCATCCAACGGGTCAGCCATGGCAGCGGCATAATCATGAATATCAGGAATAGCAGCGTTGGCCAATTTGGTATCTGTAGATCTGCTTATTAACCGACAACTACAGGTTTGTTTTTTTTTTTTTTGTTAAAATCATCTTAATAAGCAGCCTCATGATGAAAATAAATTGTTAGTTTTTGATACAGGGCATAAATTTGGAAACATGAGTCTACGGGTGATGACTAAGTTGGATTGCAGGTTTGCAAAAGGAATTACATGATGTTTTGAAACAGCTTCCGATGAATAACAACATGAAGCATGAATATAAATAGGGTGAGTTTAAAGATTATTCTGACAATATAAATTCTAAATATGCTTTTAAATGGGTTTTGTTATAACAACTTTAAATCATGTCCATATAGTTTTTTAGTTTTTCTATTCTGTTTTTATTGATAATTTTTTGAATTCATGTTACATCTCATGGGAAGAAAAAGTCTTATAAAGGAAAAAACAATTATTTAAGGAAGCCATTCATCGGCGTACTCACGGATAAAGATCCATTTTTTCCCATTACCATTCCTTTTATGTTAGATAAATTCTTTTTTTAGGAAAAAACTGACTTTTGTTTCAGGGAAAAAAAAATATCGGAATTCGGTTTGTTCTATAAAGTATATATCCAAGATAGTTTTCTATAATCTTCAGTGTTGTTATTCTTAGAACTCTCCGACCATCTGTGTGAGTTATAAAATGGAAAAAAGATCATAAAAGTTCTATATTGTTTTGGAAACTTTGGAATAGTCTTGGGAAGAATGGTTATGCAACTTTGGGTTTGTTGTGATAACTTAAGACTCTCAAATAGTGCTAGTGAGTGAATTTGGTCAAGTTAAATGAAATCTTTCAATTGACATATATATATATATATATATATATATATATAATGAATTGAGCTGACACTAGCATGATTTTCAGGTTTGCAAGTTGAGTACCTTTCATTGCAAAAGAAGTCGAAGAAATAGATCAAGATGATTGTTATTGCTATATAAAAATGGAAGACGTATACCTTTTTCTATATTTGTTGTATAAAAATTGAGTAATGAGTTGTAACGGGAAATTTGATAATATTATAAGACCTCATTATTTATGTTTTGAAGTCGTTTCGGATTCTTGATAGCAATGTTAATGACATGGTTTCATTTATGTATTGAGGAATATGAGGGATAGTAGCCTTTTTCCCTTATGTGTAAATTAGTTTTTTTAATTATTTTTTCATCTACATTATACAAAAATAATAATAATTGATCAAATAGTGTCATATAATGTCAAAAGAAAATATGTGAAGTCGCCCGGGTATCTGCCCGGGCCAAGCATCTAGTTATCCTTATAAATGAAATAAGAAATT